CACCTGTCTGAGTCTACACCCTGTCAGTTAAAATATACAGTACATCATGTGAATCGAGTAAAACCAGCAAGTTCATTTTGATGCATAGTTCTTATCAGGTTAGGTAGAACTAAATGAGGTCCAACATGTAGTCTGCTATCTCTTTCGGCCAAGGCCCAGCAAAAATGAATTTAATTCTAAATCACTAACTCTGACACAGTGACCATTTAAAATGAAACAAATATTGTGTAAATCTTTAATGATCCCAGGATGACACATGTCCATGTTTTTCTTTTCCTGTGATGTAAATGTAAGGCTGCTTCTTGGCAGATGATTTTCTTGCTTTTAATTTTCTATTTAATGTAATGAACTGCTAAGAGTTCAAAAGAAACTGTGAATGCCATGGTTTGTCACTCTTGACCAACCTTCACATCCTACCAAGTAACAAGTTACACTTAGGTCAATGTCATTGTTTAGTCATTTATGCAAGAGAACAGCAAGACTGATCTGGTATTAACAACATGCAGGGAAATACTGCATCTCAGCACTGCTTTCGAACATCCATAATGACTGTTGGGGAAATGATGGAATTCAAATGTTGACTGTGGTCCACAAAGCTTTTCACAGCATCACCTGCAGAAATGATACCTGACACCAATGATCTGACACCATTTATTGTTAGAATTTGATACACATCTATATATTAATAGTGATAACCATAGTAGAAAGAAACCCAGAACAATTACTCTGTGCTGTATATAAAACAAAACATTCCCTGCTGTCAGTCGATTTCTGTTCTCCAGAACAGTTCTGTTTTCTAACTTTCCTCAGGCTCAAAACTATACAACTGATTCTGTCAACAAACTGTTTCTCTGAATCAGTTCCATTTAGTCACTGCTTACTACTGACAGATGCACAACAAGAAGGGTATATAGTGGAGCCACCTCAGTGACCCCCAGTGGTCACTTATAAAACATTTGTATACAGTCTACAGCCAACATTTTTACAGGAAAAGAATCCCAGTGTGACAACCAATTTAAAATACAGACTAATATTATGTATGCCATCTCCACTTGTTGTTTTTGGATTAGCTCTAGAGCTAGACCTGTATATGTAGTTATGAGACTTATTATTTGATTTTTTTATTGTTAAAAACAGTACTTTGAACAAAAATACCACTGATTAGTTGCTGTGTTTTGTGGTAGATTTGTGGCTTGTGTGTGTTGCCAACGGGGAGTTGCAGAGTGCCCTTTGGTGGACAAGCTATGCAACGACAACACTCGTAACATGACTGAAGCACCTATTCCGATTTATCTATTATTAGCTCATATCAGCCGATAACATCAGCATGCGATTATCAGTGAGGCTCTAATTAGCACCACAGAATTGATTATGTGTATGTGCTCAGTTGATATCCTATGAGCAAATCTGTGAACCCAAAATCTTTTCAGTTTCCTGAGCTCCTACAGACACAACAAATACATCTATTTTAAGTACATTGCCGTAAAAACATGTGCTACTTCTATCCAGATTCTTCTGTGTGAACTGAAGCACTGTGATAATTTATAATCTAGCCTACTGATCGTATTACTTTGTACCACAATACATTACACTGGCTTGTGTAAGCTCTATCTGTACATCTACATCTGTACATGTTCAAAGCTCTAAGTAGGCAGCACAGACTACTTGGCTCTAAATTGATTCTTTTGTTCACATCAATCCCCATCAGCATGAGGCTGAGCCACAAAAGGATGAAGGGATGGAGAAATGGACAGATAGAGCATGAAGAGAGAAAGTTAGGGATTGGGAGAGATAATGAGGAGAGCAAAGTACCCTGTAGGATTAGCAAAAAGGGTGGATAATAGGGAGCAAGTGTGACCGCAGCCTATCAAGTGAGAGTGAAAAATAGGGGAAGGATTGGAAATGAGCGAATCATATGCTGTAACTTATCCTCCCAGTTCACCAGAGACCAAAGACACTTTGGTTTGTAGAAGCAGGAAGGCCAAGCTCCAGGTAGCCAAAGGGAGATGAGATGGTATTTTTTCATGGTTGAGAGGGTCTTTGCTGTACATAACTGGCCACAGTGGCCACCAGTCCTCTACACTGGTCCCAGCTTGGTGCTTTGTCAATGTGCTGTGACTAATCCAGGAGGGGTCCCGCATTTTCTCTCACCCTAATTAAAAGAGGATTAGATGGGATGGAGCTCTAGGCCACTCCAACATGCATAGCCATCGTCCCTTCACTTTCCCAGGATAATCACACTAACTGGAATTGCCTGGATTTTCTGTGCAGTTCACCACCTGAACTCAGTGAATGTGTCCGTCACTGACATGGTTGGTGCTGAGACTAAAGGGGCTTACAAATATGGGCACTATAGCAATTCCCCAACTGGTGTCTACATATGGTCTTTACACCCCAAATCTGCTTCATTTCCAATGTTGTATTTCATAACTTGTGATTATAAGATTTAATTGTAACGGCTTATCTCCATACTTTTTTTTATTATCAGAATGTGTGCATGTGCTGTGGGGATATTAAGGTTAAGGTTAAACTTTATTGTACCCAAATGAAAAATTTGGCCTTGGCACAGTGCATTGTTGCTTCATAAAAATAAAAACATCACAAAAAACATTACACATCACGAAAACCATCACAATACATCAACAAGAACTTGAGAAGCATTGAGACGGTGAAGTACTTTACAAGAGGAAAACATAAAAACAGAAGAAAATGAAAGCTGTTAACAACATGGTGCCATGGATTAAAGTGCAAGTGCTAGTGTGGTTATCGAACTGAAAGGGATTTCAATTATAGAGGCCTCTGTCTGCCTATTTTTATATTTGGAGCAATAGAAAAGGAGCATAACTGAGTTTAAGTACCTTATCCTTCCTCTAACCCCACTTTTATTCTATATACAAATTATGCTTCACGCACCAATTAATAAATCAGATCTGTTTCTATATTTTTCTGTTACATAAAAAGAATGTAAACTGAAGAAAACAATACAAACTGAACCAGTCACATAACTTGAGGATTGACTGAATAAACAGAAAAATCAACAAGCAAGCATGACACTCTCAGCACATAAAACATGGAATGGTTAACCCTTTGCCTAACGTAAAGACTTGTAGGCAACTAAACAGGGACCAGCCTTGTTGGAAGCCACCAGTGTTGGGCAAGTTACTCAGAAATTGTAATATATTACTAGTTACTTATTACTCCTTTAAAGTAAGTAATATTATTACTTTACTTATTACTGGGTGATAAAAGTAACTAGTTACGTTACTCATTATGTTACTTTCCAGTGTTTCCCACAGAATGACGGGGAGGGGTTTGCACAGGTTTGTGCAGCGGTGTTCACGTGAGAGAGAGAGAGAAACAGTGAGCAAAGAGGTGCTGCATGAATATATGCTCTTCAATACAGCTCCTTAATCAAATATGATTTTAAACACACCTAGTAAAAAATTGAAAATCAATACAGTGTTGATAATTATCCAAATTATAGGCTAATTATGGGAAACACTACTTTCACTACCACCCCCTTCACCCTCAAAGTTGTCTCTCCCGACTTTATAGCTAATATCATATCCATAACAGCAGCAAGGAGTATGGTATAGAGTATATAGCCTAGGCCTAACGTTTCTTAACACCACCAGCTGAAATGTAGAAATGTTGACGGTTGAAAGCTTTTCGCTGGTTTACACTTGACGACAATGTTCTTTGCATCCGACTGTGACACAATAATGGCAGTAGCTACTTACAGCGGTGGAAAGAACGCCTCTCTCCCTTGTTCTACATTCTTCCTTTAGTTTTTGGCTATCAGCGGACATGAACAACAAAGTCTGGTGCCTTTGAGCTGCCGCACAGTGGATTCAAGTCAAGGATGGTGCGTTCAGTAATAACTAGTAATAATATTAGTGTTTTAGGAAAGTATTAAGTTACACTACTTAGTTACTTTACAATAACACGTTACTGCCTATCACTGGAAGCCACAAACAGCCTTCGAAGCCACTGGTCCCTATAGCTGGATTCTCATCCAGATGTTAGCGTCTTCATCTCTAACTGGGATTTTTTCATCTATGATTTGATAAATTAAAAGGAACTGTAAGGGGGGGGGAAGCATTTTGTTAAAGGTTCGCAAAATTGCGAAATATATCCAAACTCACTGTGGTGTTATTTTTTTCATCAACACTGAAATTACAAAATAAACAAGATAAATGAGACAAACAATAATTGAAATCTATATTTCAGATTGATGACAGCAACACATCAGTCAACATTTGCGCCACTACCTCCAAGAAATGTCCTGCCCACAGTCATTCCCCTGACTACAGTGTTCATAATTAAGGGAGTCAGGAAGTTCTCTAAGCTCCATTTTATCTGTAGCCCTGGACATGTTGGCACCTCCTAACATAAAACAAACCTAACCTGAAGGCCAATGAGGCATCTCACGTCAACAACATGCCAAGCACAACTTTCTTCACCCATTAAAGTTCTTCCACTTGGACAGAAAGGTAGTTAAAATGGTAATTAATGGGATATGCTTTCAGCTGTTAATTAATCCTGCCCTGTGTGGCCTACAAATAGCTAACTGAGATGAGCTAGATTAAAGTGCTGGCTACTTTAGATGCCAGCTGCCACAGAAAAGACAGCTTTATTCCCATGGCACGGTTGGTATCTTCATCTTTCAGATTCAGCTTTCATACACATTTGTGAATTGAGTTTTTCAGATCTCTTTATCCACGTAGCGAGTATAAAGAAATAGCCTACAAGATCTACATGGTCACCTTAAATATCTAGAAGTAGCCTACATTTATATAGCTGTTGTTCTTTGTTTGATGAATTGTGATGCTGAGGAAATATAGCCTACAATCTAGAAAAACGTACGGGCACCAGGATAGTTAAAGTTGTGCCTCTTTGGGTTAAAATGAACTGTTTGTAAAGCTGGTGTATGTTTTGAAGGCTGAGCCGCGCCCACATCAACATGTCTGCAAACGGACTCCCTTCTGCGTCATAGCACCTACAAGTCAAGATTTAGGGAACATCTCTCCCGCATCAGCAGCCAGCTTGCAGCGACCCTATCACTCCAGTAGACACGGTGCGACAACTGCTTGCGGTCACTATTAGATATTGTATTTGGCCTCCACTATGGATACCGACAACGAAGAAGTTACAATGAAAGAATCCAAAAGACGACAACGCCAGTCGGGTAAGATTGACCCTCGCTACCTTCATAAGTGTGCTATTTCGGGCAGCTTGGACACAGCTAACGTTAACGTTAGCTGTGTCTATTTAACGGTAGCAAAGCGAAACTAAACACTAATGCCAAGTTATTTTACTTTTCTATTAACGGTGCACAGTTCAGAAATGTGTGTTTACCTGGTGTGAATATATCAAACGTAGCGTTAGCAGTAGCCGTTATTTAGCTCACGACAGTCGGGTAACGTTAACGCAACCTAAAGCTAACGTTAATTGGCACAACAAGCCAATGTTATTAACGTTAAGCGTTAGATAACGTAAGTTAACGGTAACGTTTCGGTCTTGACAGTGAATGTAACAACGTGAAACAAACCATACAACAGAATAAACGCTGGCTGTGTAATTAACTTAAGACACAATCGGTTGTGCAGATGTGGGTTTTCTTTGAGACTGTGTTTATTGATAAACCGTAGACAGCTGGGCGATATTGATACCCACTGTAGGCGGTAGCTAATTTCATAGCTGACATCCTGAAGTAACAGGTTAAAATGTTTTGAAGTAATGTGTTTAGGAATTGAACGCTGACCTAGCTAGCGGGTTGGTTTTGTCCTTAATCCCTGGGTGGGGTCAGTTTGTGAAGCCCGGGGGAAATCACAGTATTGATTATGTCAGTGATGCAGGGATGTAATGTTGCATCAGGAACCCTATAACAACCCCGGCCAATTACTGATATTATGGCTACTTCTTACCAGTACTTTAAATTACTTAATAAATTAACTATATACACCATGAGTCTGTTAGTTACTGACCCAATGACTATAATGACTTTAACTGTGAGTCGTTCAATGGCGTTTTGACCTCTAACTTTGTCTGTAGGTTCAAGCAGACATGGTTTACATGATATTGAAGGTACGGATCTCATTGAATGGTTGCATGTCATTATCAGATTTTAACTGAGGTAAATGCTGTTGGTGGGGCCGATGATGACATAACAAATTCCTAACAGCAGCAGTGGTGTGTATGTGGGTGGAGGTGACATTAAACCTTCCTGACTAACTATACACATTTACAAAAAGTGGTTCAGAGATGGATGAAAGCTGCTCTGAGTCGCAGCTGAAAGAATTGTGCTGTTTGCATAAGTATATTATATATAAATACATTCCCAATAAATGTATTTCAGTGCATGCATTTATCTTCTTTCCCCCAGCTTTGGAGAATGCAGACTCTGACATTGGCTTGTGTGGCTGGCTGCTGGTCGGTCTCTCCATTCTTCTCATGCTGGTTACTCTGCCCATCTCCATATGGATGTGCATTAAGGTCAGCTGCTGGTCAAATCCAGTGTTTATTTTCCACTTTACAAGCAAAGCAGGCTGGTGCAGTAGAGTAAGAGACTGAGGAAGGCCTACTGTGTTTATTAAGTGATTTGAAAATGCTATGGTTTGTACTGGAGACTCCCCTGTATTATATGTATTTATTTATCAGCCTTTATTAGCTGGTGAACCATTGTTTTTCAATGACTATATTAAAAAGTATCCTCAGAGAGCAGGTTAATTGCTCAGTGCTTTCAGAAAATGAAAATACTCATATGCATGTCATTTATGTGGTTTGTCCCTGTACACAGATTGTGAAGGAGTACGAGCGAGCCATTATCTTTCGCCTAGGGCGTATTTTGCGAGGAGGAGCCAAAGGTCCAGGTAAGAAAATGTTTTATACACCAGCATATATTTTTTACTTCATCCAAGTGCTCAGGTCTTTTATTAAATTGTCTTTCAAACATTGTTCCAGTGTCCCCCTGGATTATTTTAGTCATCTTTATCACTTTCATCTCTTTGTTTTAGGGCTGAAGATTAATCGTTTTCATTTCAAAATTGCAATTTAAAAGAAAGTGATTAGCTAATTTTGAAGACAGCGATTAAAATGTAGCTTAATTATCCAGCGCATCTGACCCGTTTTAAACAGTCATGCAGTTACAAATTCATGGCGTTGTCATCCTTGTGTGACAGACCTGCTCGCCAATCACAAGCACCATGCGCCTCTTGTTATGGTCCTAACGTTACTCACCAATCAGAGCGGGTACAGGTCGTGTACGTTTTACAACAAACGAAACTGGAGGAAAACGTGGGATAAAGGCGCCATCCATAGACTGTAGAGAGCTTAAGTCACTCACTCACGCTTCCAGCTCATAGGACCTTATTTTGGAAAAATTATGTATGGTAGTCAATGGCGAGAGACAACTTATCTTTTTATCCCGTTAGAATTGAACCCTGCATTACACATATGATGTTGGTCAATTTAAAATAGAATTTTGCAAGTAAAGAAAGCCACATTTTATTGTAAAACAGTAAAGTTACATCTCGTTTTGTGTGAAATCGCTCAATGAACTACATCTCTCGTCTTGCACAATAACACCAACATGTTAGCGCGGTAAAGCTAGCTAACGTTCATTGCTTTCTTGCTACTAGCTAGATGTAGCTATGTTGCCTGCAGAAATATATCTCACCTGATGTGTTTAATCCAACGACTCCTGGCTCTTTTATCACAACATCCTCTCATGTAAGTGTTTTGATGTTAGCTTCAGTAACGTTAGCTTCAGTCATTGACAGAGAAAGTTACCTTTAACCTGTCTGATTTTGCTGACTTGTTCAGATTCTGTTGATTTGTTCAGTTGTCCTTGATTTTGTGCTTCTGCCATGGTTAAGTAGGCTACATAGTTAAATTGTTTATTTTTTTTGTCTGGTTTAACGGTGTTTATTGTTGATACACGATCGGGAGTCTGCACAGGGTGTTTTATTTTGAAAATCAACCGGATTCTCTATGCTGTTCTGTGTTGGACTTCCTACCTGGTTCATCTGCTCTGTGGTGCTTGACGCGGCTTCTGTCAAAAATAGACTTGCAGTGAATATTGAACTTTAGGATTTGATTAGCAAATTTTTTAAAGATTTTTTCAATTTACATGAAAGAGTGACCCTTAAAATACAACCATGCTAGCGGGTCTGGGAGGCTGTACTTGGGCTCAACGAGCCTTTACACTAAATGCTAACATAAGCATGCTACCATGCTCACAATGACAATGCTAATGTGGTGTATAACATATATGCATTTGACCATTACAGTTTAAAATAACACTCTAGCAGCTGGAGAGAGGCTCAGTGAACTCTTAAGGGGGAGTAATGATTGATGGGTGTGTAAAGAGTGAACCCTCCTATGGAATTTGACCTCTGACCCAGTGTTAGGGGGAGTAGAGAGTAGTGTGTATGAAGGGACTGAACCCTTCTATAGTGTCTAACAGATGTTTTCACTTCATCCTACAGCACTGTGCCCTTATATGGTATTTAGCAGATACCTAAACATGTCCTATATAAGCTGTGTTTGATGTACAGAGAGACAGAGTGGTTATCGGGCTTGGTCACTCTCCAAGCTGCTGCAGAGCTTGTAATTGATGCTGAACTCCTTGATGTAATAAACCTTTATGTTCAAGAACAGTGTCAAGCGGATTTCTTCTCAACACATCATCGCAGCATTATTGTTCGGACACCACACTAACATGCTGATGTTTAGCACTTGTGATGATGGCACTAGAGAAACACGGGATCACCCGAGTGATAACAATTCTGAGGGTGACACGAATGTCTATGCTCAATTTCATGGCAGTCCATCCAATAGTAGATTAGACATTTCACTCAAAACCAGAAATGTCAACCTCACGGTGGCGCTAGTGGAAAAAGCAGGAGATCGCCAGAGTCTCTAGGATTCAACCTGGGTACCATGTTAGTAGTTGTTGATATATTTCAGTCTGGACCAAAGTGTTAAGTAGTAAACAGTCCAACATTGCTATTGCGAGAGCCTTGCTGCTAGTTATGGGAAAAAATTCTTAATGGAAGAAACAATTGGAAGGATCACGCAAGGGGGGGGGCTTCCTGTATTTCCTACCCATTCCCTTCCTTTCTGCTGGTGGGCAGGATGACAAAAGGGAAGTCAGTGTAACAAATTTAAAAATGGGAAAAATATCTAGGCCTAATAATAATAACAACAACAAGAGGATGTCCCACCTCAAAGTTCAACCAAGAGGCAGGTTTGAGACCCTGTTTAGCTATACGTCTGGTAGTCCTTTTCTATGTGTGTCTGAATGCCTTAATCATTTTATTCTCAGTGATGCGACTTCTGTTTTGAAAGGCAGTGTGTGTGTGTGTGTGTGTGTGTGTGTGTGTGTGTGTGTGTGTGTGTGTGTATGTAAAAAAAAAAATAATAATAATAATAAATGAATAAAATACAGCCTCCCATGAGTAATAATTTGCATACATCTCATAACTCACTGGCTCTTTATCTTTTGATTTCTTGTTTTATGGGATCTAAAAACCAGGCAGTGTCCTCTCAAAATACTGAAATGTGACTCCTCAGAGTGCCAGGGGACCCTGTTTATGACAGAGTGGGGGTAATAATAGCTCATTGCCGGCAAACATCACATTCCTGAGTAGCTGGTGGAGCCAATGCCAAAGTTGAATTCAGCATTTGGGTTTTCCATAATGGCCCTTAAACTCACACTCATAATCTTACTCCCTCCCTATCTACAACAACTGTTATACGATAGTGACTTAGAACATTTCCCTGTATGTTTAGTTTGAAACAGGCTCATGGGGATAGTTTGTTATGATTTGAAAAAAGTTTGTGTTTATGGAACAGTGTGCATCTGTAGACACTGCTCTTCTGCCATGAGCTGTTTGAGATGAACAACCTTTTTTAGTTTTTCAGTTCATTTTCCACTGCATCATAAGATAGTTTACAGAGTCTGTATGAAAGCAACTGAGTCCTCTTTACTTCGTCTGAAAAGAGTTATACTTGTTGAGAATGCGGGAAATGTCCTGATGGAAACAGTGCAAGGAGACTGCTGTTCTTTTAATTTCCCCCTCCTGAACAGATGGCTGTTGTCTCACCATTTAAACACAAAATATCCTGACAGGAAATGCAGCCCACTGTAACTGGTGTTGCATTAATGTTTGCTAAATGATTGCACACCTAGCACATGTCTGTTTCACTCAAGCACATGCCTAGTATTGTTTAATACACTAATTCAATCATTGTGACTTGAAATGGGCTTATGAAAGCTGCAAATATTCACAGCTTTGCCTTGCTGTCAGCACAGCTGCAGTCTTATACAGAGAGCTTGACTTGGCCTCCTGCCTGAATTCTATTCATCCCGGTGTTTTCAAACATTTGTGAAGAAGCTTCCTCATAATTGTGTTTACCGCGGCTTTAGTCTTTGTTAAAACTATTTGCATTTGTGTGATTCCACAGGGCTGTTCTTCATCTTGCCGTGCACTGACAGCTTTATTAATGTGGACATGCGCACCATCACCTTTGACATCCCACCGCAAGAGGTATGACATGCACACTTTCAATTACATTAAACAAATACTTTGCCACATTCACAAAAAAACAAAGGACATCAAATAATTGTGCAAAGTCTTGGTACAGCCCACCAGTAAATGCACTACTTGGCAAACAAAACAATAAAAATCCTTTTGATTGTTTTCATAGAACATTTTCCCCTTAACATCACTTAACAATTGCTTGTGTTCAATCACTTTCCTGACCACCAGGTTTTGACCAAAGACTCCGTGACAGTCAGTGTTGATGGTGTGGTGTACTACCGGGTCCAGAATGCCACTCTGGCTGTGGCTAACATCACTAACGCAGATGCTGCCACCCGGCTGTTGGCCCAGACCACCCTGAGGAACGTCCTGGGTACCAAGAACCTGTCAGAGATCCTGTCCGACCGTGAAGAAATTGCACACAGTATGCAGGTAAATTATCAGGCATTGTGATTCAAAAACAACATGCTCGCACTAATATACTTTTTTTGTATTACCAGTTTGCACATAGTAGGGCTTCAGATTTGTTCAAAATTCACACCTTTGTTCAAACATGGGAAAAACTGAAAAATTCAAACTGTTCTGTGGTCTATAATCGCCACAGAGCGTTTGAAGTAGTTTGCCATGCAGTCTAGCAGGGGCTAAGGTAATAAATAAAAGGAAGGAGGACACCAGCTAGCAAAGCCACGCTGATCGGATAATCACAACACCAACGCGTATTAATGCATATAAGTATTCTCTAGCAAAATTACCAGCAAAGATGAGGCTGTTTGTTGACTTGTTTGTAAAAAGCAGTTGCCTTACTCTAGAACAACAACAAATCTGAGAACCCAAGTGAGGCAGCAGACATGCCAGAAACGAGTGGAGCTGCATGCTAGGAAGAGCTTAGTTCAAATCTTTATTGTATCACATGAGGAAATGCAGCAGGGCAGCATAAATCACAAACATGAATGCTAAATGGTACACAGTAACAACACACTAAGACAATTGAAGACATTAAAAGTGCTGTACTATGTGCGCAAATCAAAATAAAATAAAGGATGTATGGATGAGGATGTTTCTCATTTTTGGAAACTTGCATCTCGGACCCGCGGAGGAGAGGATGGTTTGGATTAGATATGACGGATTAAGCTTTGCGTGTGATTTGAGTGCTATAAATGTTAGACAGAGGCAGTGGCTTCTCACCAGTGATTTTACTTACAAATCAGTGAGACAGTAAGGACTGATTTGGTGATGGAACTGTAAACCCATTGGGGGTCTGTCACATTTAACCTCCCTTCTTGCTCATTGCCTCAGTGTTCACATCAAAGCTCAATTTTAGTATAAGCAGTATAAGTCCCGAGGTACATGAAACTCGCTACAATTTCTACTTCTTTTCTTTTAACAAAGGCCTGGGAAGGTGGAGGTGATGTTTTGGAAATGTCTCAGGAAGTGATCATCACACCACTGTGCAAAACCACTGACCACAGACCCCTGTGATGAGTCATTTCCATGATGCAGACTGACAACAACAGTGTCATCTGCAAATGTAAGAATGTCCTTGTACTGACTTAAGTAAGTCCACAATCCATTTGTCAATATTGAAATCAAGATTAAAAACATAGCGTAGCAGTTTATCCGCCAAAATGTGAGGCTTAATTGCATTAGACAAGCTTGTCTGAAGAAAAATTACTAAATTAAAGTCTCAGTGGACATTTGTGAGGATAGCTGTGTTGTAAACATTGCAAAATGGAATTCATTATTAAATTAAAGCTGCACTGATGAATACTTTTACATAATAATAGATCAAATAACTGTAATGTCAAAGGTGTCTTTCATGGTGACAAACCCGCAGAAAATAACTCTCAATCCCCCTCAACTGTTTAGCTAATTGTTTTACTTCTCTGGCCTGCAAACTCTGCTCTCATTAACCTAGTTTCAGGCAGAAAGTTGTAAAAAACAAACAAAACCCGCTGTATGCTAAAAGCGGTTAGGTGGTGAACAAAGTGAACCTTGTCAGAGAGCTTTAGAGCTAAAGGGAGCACATAAACGCATTACCCATTAGGGGTATGTCACATTTAACCTCCCTTCTTGCCTATTGCCTCAGTGTTCACATTAAAGCTCAATTTTTTTATCAGTACAAGTCTCAAGGTACATGTAGCTCATCTACACCCCAAACTAATCTGTCTTGCTAACATTACATTTTCATGATGCTGTGAGGCCAATCCTCCAGCTCTGCGCCATTGTCAATATGCAAACGTCCTGTGATTGTTATAAAAGAATATATAGTAAACATGCTGTTCTCGAGAGTGAAACTGAAAGGCTGGACTCCTGCAATAAAGCACACTAAGGCAGGCATTACGCAGAAAACATATAATGTAGTTTATAAAAATAAATTTAATGCAATAATATGAGACTCCAGTAACATAGTCTGACTCGTAGAGAAAACAGAATGGAGGATTACACTGCCACCTTGCTTGCTTAGAACCAGGTTTGGCTGTCCTCGGTGTCACAGTTAAACTAACAAACTGTAAACTAAGGAAAGCTTAAGAATCCTGTGTTCTGTGTAGAGCACAGCTTGTTAGTTTGCCTTTCAGTTCAATTATTTATTTATTCATTAAATTTTTACTTCCAGTTTATGCTGAGCTTCTATAAATAATAAAATATTTATTTGTGACTCACACACAGTCAGAAGGTTTGTCAGCGATCAGTCGGTAGTTCATTAATGTCAGATGTACTGTATGTGCTCACTGTGCAATTTACATTGTCTTCGCACGGATACGGATAAAGCTGGAGACACCGGCTCGGTGTGTGGTTGAATACGTGTAATCATAAGTGATCTCTCTCTGGTTCAGTTGTCAGACTGCTATAATATTAGTATAATGTAGTGATTGCTTAAATGGCCTGTGTACCAGCAGTGATACCTTTGCTGCTGTGTTAAGAGCCTTGATCAAATCAGTGTTCAACAGTTGTTGACAGCATACACATAAACACAGAGACCTTTTTATTGACAAATTCAACAAGCATGCAGCACAGAGCATAGCCTCGGACTTTAAATTTTTGTTTTCACAGTAGGAAGCTTTGTCTGATTTGATTAAGTACAGCGAGAACAAAGCTCCTCTCTCCAACATTGCCACTGTACTAAGTAGAGACCAATCTGTTTGTATGGCTACAAAGCTCCTAATGTGTCACTGTTGATGTGGAAATATCTTTCATGAAATACTTGATGAATAAAAGTGAAAATAAGCTGTGTGATGTGCTTCTTGCTCATCATTTAGTGCTCGTTATCCACAACATTATAATCGTAGGTGTCAAATGCATGCAGTACTATGATGCTGGGAGTGGTTGCAGTTTTGCCACAGTGTCATGTCATTTTAGGATTGTGTGTTTAGTGTGAGTATGCTTTACATGCAGCTTCCATCATATATTTGATTAACTTTTTTTATTTAATTTATTATATTTTTATTTTACCGTTCACACCAACTGCGCTCTAAAAGTAATTTCTTTCCAGCAGAGAGAAACATGCACCCAGGTTGCGCTCCATCTGCTGGACGATTTTTGGAAAATGCAACAATTTGTCTTTGATTTGTCTATTTAAATCTTGGTGAAAAAATATGTGCTGACAAATATGAATTTGCTTTTATCACCAAAAAAAACCTAAAATGTTGCAGTGATTGACATGTTGGCAGTTTCTGTCAAATGCTGTCAAAATAAGAGATTTCAGTAGAGGCCCCGGGAACTTTGGAAAACACGTTGCGCAATGTTGAACACTCGTCTCTCTGTCTTCTCAGTCCACTCTGGACGTCGCCACAGATGACTGGGGGATCAAGGTGGAGCGGGTTGAGATCAAAGACGTCAAGCTGCCCCTTCAGCTCCAGAGAGCCATGGCTGCTGAGGCTGAGGCCAGCCGCGAGGCCAGAGCCAAGGTAAGGTGGTTCTGCCTAGTAGGAGATCCTCTCTCACCTCACAATGTTCCTATAACTTTTCAGCTCCACGTTCAGACACCCCTCACTCCCTGCCTTGTTCATTCACTTCTCTCTCCTCCTGTGCTTTCTTCACAAGGTGATCGCAGCTGAGGGAGAGATGAACGCGTCGCGGGCCCTGAAGGAGGCCTCCCTGGTGATTGCAGAGTCTCCGTCAGCCCTGCAGCTGCGTTACCTTCAGACCCTCAACACCATCGCCGCCGAGAAGAACTCCACCATCATTTTCCCGCTGCCGCTGGAGATGATGCAGGGGTTCATCAAACGCTGAGGGGAGGGGGGAGTCTCAAAACACATAGTCCACACAACCTGCATCACTTACACTCACACACATTCATAATCATAAAAAAAGAAAACTCCAACACAAACTAACTAATCATTTTCTATCAACTGGATTTTTGGTTACTTCATTCCAAATTGCCGTTTGGTTGTAAAAATATTCTTTAAGATTAACCAGACCGCTTAAGTAGACACACGGTTGCGTTGCTGTCTTTTTGGCCGAACAGCCAATCAGAACAGCTCTCTGTCATCTGCTGCCTATACAGCATGCTCAGTCAGTGAAACAGCTGTAGAGGAGGGTCAGCTAGAGCCCAAAGCAAAAACTGCAGCAGGCAGCTTGGTGTGTCCGCCAAGAACTGACCACTGACTGAATTCATTTTGTTAAAGTGAGAACAGCTACAGTGCAGCAGGTGGTTTAGCTTTAATCCTGCAGTTTCATTTATTTACATTTCTATATGCTACAAATGTAGACAGCAGGCAGGGTTCTCCGACTGTCAAAAAGAATAGAAGTAGAAGCCAAAACCACGTCATCTGTTTTACAGACATTTTAAAGGACAGTGCCTGCTGGATATGTGGCCTTACAGTTTTGCGCGCGCACACACACACACACACACACACACACACACACACACACACACACACACACACAGATAAATAAATAAATACTTATTGGCTATCTAATATCTCCTAATATTGTGGTGCTATTTGAACCACTGCCAGCATCATAGTGCTGCGATCAAGTTGTACCTAAAATTATGATAACTTTAGACGTTAGCTGTGCCATTGCATGTTTTCACAGAATTTTTGGTCAGAACTCATTCCAACCTCAGCATTAAACTTAAATTGTAAACTTGATGGTTCATACACCACGACATACAGTATATGTTCTACTGTACTTAACCTGCTCCACTCTGGTTCTTCACCTTCATCGGAAGAGAGAAAGAAAGAAACGCAAGCAATTTACTGAAATTGCCGTATATTTTAGTGGTGGGAGTCTCTAGGCACTGATTCAATTCCGATGGATTGGAGAGCTACAAATCCATGATTAAATGGTTATCAATGCATCTTGATGCATCAAAATATTTGATTTCTAAACTTGATTTATTTTTTGCTCATGTGTGACTACTTGCTACTTTTAAAGATTAGGTATTATGCAAATTTTCAGGTTCAAAATCTTATTTAGGGGTTGTACCAGAACAGGACCAATAAAATACTACTACAGGGCTACTTCCTGTCGGCACCAGCGTCTACTGCTCATGATCGCGCAGCATAACCATGGTTTAATGACCTAGAGCAACGGCAGAAATACCGTAATTCTGGTAGCACCACCAAAAAGTCAGCCCACCTGTCAAAACACCAATGCAGTGTCACTCATGGCCAAATAGTTATTAATTATTATTAACATTCAACAGGTGGCCACAATAATATTTCTGCGGATGACTTGACTTTTCTACATTGAGACAAAATTCAAGAGCGAATTGCGATGCATCTAAAACTCAAATTGCTTCAACCCCGACGCCTAGTTAATATGGTGTATAAACATACTGACGATGAGTCCATGCAAAAGCTGCAATGATTGATTTGGTTTGCTTTATCACAATACTGAGCCAGCACGAGAGGTAGGCAGCAATCCTAAAAGAGCCCCTTCAGAGAGTAGGGATTGGCCAGAGTGACATACAAGTAATAATACATAAACACACACACACTTTACTTTCTGTTAAACAAACACCTTTTCTCCGGTTGCCAATACTTTTGTCTAAACTAAAACTTGTTAGACTGAAACGCTGGATGTTACTTCTACATGTTTACAGTACGCTTTCTATTCATACACAGTACATGTTGTATTTACAAGGGTAGACAAAATATTAGGAGCACCTCAGATTACCATAGCGTGGACCCTCTGACAAACAAAGTGAACATTATCAGCTACACAGGTCGTTTGGTGGGTGGTGATGGCGCAATAGATAAGACTATGCCTTTGGTGTGAGAGACCTGGTTCAATCCACCAATGTGTCCCTGAGCAAGACAGTTAACCCCTAGTTGCTCCAGAGGCGTGCGACCTCTGACATGTATAGCAATTTTAAGTTGCTTTGGATAAAAGCATCAGCTAAATGAGTAAATGTATTGTGTATCTTGTACGGCTGTTGGTTGCATTTTGTCCACCCTCCGGCTGGCTTCACTGCTTAGGAGAAACCGGGACTGTTAGAAAGAACCTTATCGCAAATCTTTTCAGCCAAAAGCCTTAACTTACTGCCATCAGTTCATTTAATATCACATTTCTATGCACTTCCCAATGAAAAAAAAACTAAAGATTTTATTTACCTATTTTTTTTAAACAACAGTATTTTATCACACAGACTCTTTCTGGGTGTAAACGAACAAGCCAAATAATTACAACTCTTTGTATCTATCTTACAACTGACATGTAGTTCTATATATTTTTCTCCTTTTGACATATGAAGGACATGTAAGTGTTGATAAATATACATTACAGTATCTGGTGAATGTCTGACTTAGCAGTGTTACTGTTTGTGTTTATATACACACACATTCTGTATATATAATCATAGTCCTGTAAAGTTTAAAGTATTGCTGTGGCTTTTCTTTTGTTATTGAGTTCAAAGGCTACTACATCTGTTTATTTCATTTATTGCTGTTGACCCATGGTGAGTAAACTTGACTTTAACAGATACTTTGTTATAGAAGAAAGGAGAGGCTTTCACATATGTACACCCACAGCACAACAACATTATGCTGATGAGCCCCGAGCAGCTACTCTGTGAGGTTTTCACCAGTAATTTGTGGTTGTTGTGTATAGTCAACTTTCACAGGCAGTATTTGTGTTCAGAGAACATACTTTGTCAAGCTCACTTCTCTTATCATTTTGCTTTCACGCAAAGGACAAACCATGCTCATTAAACTGAAGTAATAATTTCTGATTCTGTCTTGTAAAACTCATTGTCATATTATTTTTATATTACATTTTATTCAGAATTTTAGTTTTTGCAGCAATATTTTTTATACAGTTTGCTAATGTTTGATATGGGTTTATCTTGAATATAATAGCCTACGTATGAGGACTTTAAATAAAGACGCTATCAAAAAGCATTTGTCTTTGGATCTAATTCTTTTCAGATCAATGTTTGTAAAAGCAGAGACATAAAACACTTAAACGTTTCATTTGGTTTTATTTAAATGATAACAAGGCTGAGGAAAACCTTTAGAACGTGTCACAGAAGGTGTAACTGGTTTCTAAAGCAGCAAAGCGTCCGTTTCCAATTTAAAGTTGGCCACTGCACAAACACAAAAGCATCCTGGGCATGAATCTGTGGCATTTCAAAAAACAAAACAATAAATGTAGGAGTGTCTAAACTGAAGGTACAAACAACTTGCTTTTACAGGCATCCTTAAACTGGGACAGTACCTTTTTAAAAAAGCAGGAGTGCTGTAAAGGAAAGAATATTAAGGCATTGGTAGTATTGTGAAGATTAAGAGGTGTTTTCTTGGCAGTGAGTTTTCCAAGGTTGCAGCACACCAAGGCTTTAAACTGTCTTGCTATGTGTTTGTTGCCATTACATTTCACTAGTCAACACGTTTTAGTCTCAAAATAGGACACAAATGAAAAAAATGGCTTCAATAAAAGTCCTAGTATCTGACTACTTAGTGCAAAACTCTACTAATGTTAAAGCTCTATTCCTATAGGTGGTTTTATAACAGGTATAAAGGGATCCCTGTAGCATGTGAGACAAAGTGAATGAAAACACAGCTTCGCCTACCTGTATCCCTTCAAAACACAACTAAGTGTAAAAAAAAAAAAAAAAAAAAAATTAACTCCTCATTTTCAGGGCGTATTGGCAGCTAAAAAAGTCTTATGATTGCAGCGCAGTGCTTGCGGCGGTGCAGCGAGGTCAAATAGGGAGGGACGTAGGTCTCACACGGTCAGATCAGCCATAGCACGCTCCAGGGGGTCGCTGGTCCAGTAGTCGTGGTCCCAGCCCAGGAACCAACCAGTGAAGGTGGGCGGCTCATGGCCCTGCTTGATCTTCACGATGGGTGTGCGGGGGTCTCTGTTGGCTGGATCTGTCTCGATGTAACGAACCGCTGAGGAAGATAAGAAAAACTTGAATTAGTGCTAGTCATAGCACACTTAAAAACAGAAAAGAGTTATTTAACACCAGGCCGAAAATCTGTGCTTTGTTGCCTTCACCGAAACAAGGTGTGGTCCGAAAAGTGTTTTATTGCACCTGTAACCACACCCAGCAGTTATGTCAATGGGTCCTGTAGTACACCTGTACATCACTACAGCAAAGTGAGAAATTAAACCACTGGAGTTCAGCAAAGATGAGGTTTTCAGGGGTTGTTAAGTTACGCTTTAAAAAAAGATTGTCAGATCACTTACCCTGAAAAAAGTTTAATAATCTAATACACATATGGTGCTTGAGAAGATTATCTTTAGTGATAATTATCTGTCTCTCTCTGAGCTTTTTTCACCCCAGATGTTCTTACCAGACGACACTGCTTCAGTTTTCTCTTCCTCGTGGGCTTCATTTCCGATCCAGACAAACACCTGAAAATGGGAAAGTGTTATGCTTATTTGTTCCTTTCATTGCAGCGACTCTGCTTGGAGTCTGTGTAGTGGGGCTGAATCAGTCAAATCCCTGGTTTCTTTACCTGCTCCCAGGTGTCGAGGATCATGACATCATCAGTGGCGAGGTCGTCTTGGGTTATCTCCCCGGGTACCTCCTCAATCTGAAAGGAAGAGAGGGATTGAGTGGAGCTGTGTTGATGTACTGTGTGCACCAAGGACTGTGGAGCGTTCAGTCCAGGTACATGTGCTTTCTATTCAGTCTTTTTTTCCTGGTGAAAGCATTAACTGTGACATCTGGGGATTATCCAAAGTAACCGGTACATTATTTCTGGAAAGGCAAGTTATTAGTAAGTACTAGGTCTCAGCAGTGCATTCCTCAAACGCTTACTATCCACAAGGGCATTTACGTTCTGTGAAATGACCCTTTAAAACAAGCTCAAACCAAAGACTTACAATGAAGTTTCCAGTCTTGTTGGAGCAGGCGAAGAGTCTGGGTGGATGAGCGTCCATCTTGTCCTTGAGTCTGGTAGAAGTCCGATATTCTGTTTTTCCTCCCAGAGCGCCCCAGAACTCATCTGTGAAGACGTCAGACACACTTTAAGTTATTGTGGTTTTATGTATTGAATCATAAAATGTTGAAAAGCTCCACAGAGCTGCAGAGTTGATGGTAGTTCTCTGTGGGTTTGTCACTATGTGCAGTTCCTTTTGCATTACCATTGCTGATGTAGGAAATATTGATTAATGTAGCTTTAAATAAGAAACAAGATTTGCTGTTTTTTAATTAATATGAATTTTCACTCACAATGTGTTACCTACTAGCTGTTGAAGGTAACTTTCGCTTACCCAGTGACAAATTATCAGCTTAAGCTCACAGAAATAAAATGTTGAATTTCTGTTTTGTTGTCTTTAGCAGCCCTTAACTGAGGCCAGCCCTTAAAAGCAGGGTGTTTATAAAAAATGGAAGCTGTTGTGTTTTAGCCTGAGGTTTTCTATCTGCTAGCAGAGAACCCAGAGAACTCTTTTTGGGCTTTAAAATCAAATCACAAGATTACTGAAAACATCTAAAAGGGGTGATGCAACCAAGTCTTCTTTTGTTTTAATATAGATGAGCGCAAGCACTTACTTTCGCTGAAATACAAAAAGAAAACTATTTAGCTTCACATTCACAAGCGCTGTTTCAACAGCTTGGCTACAGTTTGTAGCAGACACAGATACAATTCTTAGTATGTTAACTTGTACGGGGTTTCACTTTGACTTTGTTATTCTGTGTTTCTCACCAGTCTCTCCTCCCTCAGGCAGCTCAGAAGCAGACACTCCCAGGATGTCACACAGCTGCTGAGCTCCCTGCTTCTCCGTGTCACTGGCACCAACCCCCACCCACAGGAAGGAGCCTCCGGGCGTCACCAGAATAAAGGCATCGTTGGAGTTCAGGTTGGATGACGCAGGGTCAAGCTGCATGGACGCAGAGGTATGGCAGGTTAACTTGAGCAGTTCTGCTACTTAAGTGCTACCGTTTGTTTCGAGATGTCTGGCATTTCCAATTTAATACTCAGTCAACTTTGACCAATGTACAGAAACAAATACATTTTTGTTTAAATTTCTGGCACTCCTCAAAAGACTATAGAGGACTTGGTTCACTTCATTCTGCCTAACTTTTAGTAGTAGGCAGCAACCAGACCTTATTGTGGATGACAGTTGGATGGAAAAGCTACAATAAGTTCTTTTACAGGTTGCTAAATTGATAACCACAATGAAATATCCACAATTAAACTCATTCCCTAGCCAAAAAGTTACAACTGAACACTGAACTGAACAGGCCATTAATATATAGTTTCATTTAAAAACAAGGGGGGAAAAATGGTCATTAATTTATTAAAACAGCTGTGCACTGGACTTTTAGCAAACAGTGTAACAGGAGGAGATGTTGGGAACTATTTTCAGAAGCGGATTAATACAGATTTGGTACCGTAGTGAGCATTCCCAGCAGGACGGTGTGATTGTGAAATATGTGTGATTGAATCAAAGCAAACAACCGTGGCAGTGTTCTTTATAATGAAGAAACATGTCAGCCAGCAACACTGTGGTGCACTGATGTGTTTCAATAGTTTTTGGACAACAGTGAAGCTCAATGGCACATGTCAGACTTTAGATAGACAGACAATACTTATGAGTGGGGGCCAATTCATTGTTGGTTTTGGTCTTTTCATGGGATTTGTTGACCGTGAGAAAAATATAGTATACCACCATACATATCCTTTAAAATCACCTCTTGCAGTGGTAAAGTTAAAAAGTGAATGATGCTGTGTTCTCTTACCTCCACAGCGCGGGTACATCCTGCTGAGTTGGAGCGCACCTGGAAGAGTCGAGTCTCCGCAGGAGCGGACTGACCTCCTTCTCTGGACGTTCCTCCCTTGTACACCACCATGGGCTGTCCTCCAAACAGACTCATCAGATGGGCCGGCTCTTTCCCCTGCACCACCCTCACCTGGTACACAAACCGCAAACAAACATTAAAACTTGGGAATGATAAGATCGGTTGTTACAGTTAAAGCTGTGGCAAAGTACCTCATGCAATTTTAAACGTTTGTGAATTCTCTCAAGGTGGTGCAACCCAATTACGTTAAACAGATAGGGCCTTGTCGTCAAATATGCATTAACACATCTTGCTGCAATCACCAAGTACAGACACAAGATGGCAGCATGGAGCTAAGCCACATGTTCACCGTCTGTGGTGGGTGTCAAGGTTTGTGAAATAAATGCACAGTGATGACGCAGGTCATGTCTAAAGGTATTAGGAATCTCTTTGGTCTGCAGCTTTTGTCAGAAATGTTTATGGCTGTCAGATGGTGCAAGCATGTCTTCTCTTGAATCAGTCTTCCCAGCAAGACTGTCAGACCAGAGAAAAAGTATATGTAAGCTAAATACACAAAAGGGACTTCTCCCTTTTCACACATTGAGAGATCCATTTCTAATGTGCTTTTAACGTAAGTGATGGGAGGAAAAATCCACAGTCCTCCTTATGTATAAAAATACATTCCAAAGTTCAAATAAAGTAAATATGAGACTTCAGCTGTTTCACTTAGAAATATGAGTATCTTCTTTTTAGTGCAAAATCCTGTCTCTCCTTTAGTGCACACACAGAGTCATGCCACAGCACTCCAACAACATAAACACGAAGGTTGCACATGCAGGGTGCAAGACACACCTGAGGAGAGAAGTGCGAATGCAGAACACGGAAATGAATGGAGACTCACACGAGTACAGAGCCAGGGCTCACTCTAAACAACTCAAGAGTTTACAGACTTGACGTTGTTTTATGATCTCCACAGATATTTCCAAACTCAAACATTAGCACCCACTGACGCGTTAGGTCGTCATGATGTTGTTCTAACAGCAGAGTTTGGAAACAGGGCTGTTATTTATGTGGAGCAGACCAGAGTTGGCGACAGAGGAGGAGGGGACCTCCCATTAACATCCACATCGGAATGTCCTGTTTGTGCTTGACCGAGATCGTTTCACTGTAAATTCACTTTAACTCCTTATCACACTCGCTAAGTGTTACAGGTGCCAGAAAAATGAAGATAGCGGCTCCCTTCAAAAATCAAGATTCACATTCATCTGGAATGTGAGAAGGGAAGAAATTTTTTTGTCACTGGCTCTGGACAAAATCATACAAGTCATTTTGAGAGGATGAGGAGCAGGGAAGGGAGGGAAAATACCTGAGTGGTTACAGGAGCACCAACAACCTGAAGAAACAGAAAAGGTCGGAAACCAAGGAGGACAGAAGCAGCAGCGGGGAAACCATTAAGGGAGAGGAGAGTGAAAGGATGTAAAGGTCAGGGAGAAGGTGACTGCGCTGAGTGAGCTAGAGGAGAGAGACTTTAATGACTGAATGATAAGATGGATATAAGCCACTCATAGCCACTAAAGGAACAGTGTGTTTTACCTGCACAGGACCACCACCAAGCTCATCATCCAGCTGGGCGCCAAGGATAGCAGAGGCCGCAATTTCATCCTGGGTGGAGTCCGATCCTTGCCTGGGAGACAATTACAGTGCATTATCATTACACTGAACATAAGGAGAAGCACGGACTGGGTACGTGCTCACAAGCAATTCCATACCCCACCAATTTGAACTGAAATTGGAAAATATTTGACTTCTATGTTCTTTTAAAAAAGTTCAAGGCACTTAACTTTTAACACGTGGTGTTGCTAAACCAGTATAAACGATTGCTAAATTTGATTGTAATTGTTTTACAGACTTCTGAATTTGCTGTGTTCCTCAGAGCTCTAATATGCGTGCTAATATATCAATTGTATTAATTTCAACTTTCAGAACGTCTCAATTTCTCTTTTAAAAAAGGTAAAACAAAGGTTTGTAATTAAAAAGAAACCAAGGTCAAAATTGCATTAGCAGTAAATATTAAGTACAAATCGACTACATCAACCGACCAGTCACTGAAAACGTGATGTAGTTAAAGTATAAGACATTACCAAATGTAAAAACTAAACTGCGTGTGACGTCAAAGGGTTAGCCTCTAGTATTCTCACCACATGTAGATAATGTGTCCCTGACGTCCTCCGTGGCGGTAGTTGTAAAGGATGATGTAGCTGTCTCCACCGTAGAACTGTCCGTAAGTGGACGGGTCCACCAGCACCTTGTCGGATCCCTCAATACGCCAGATCTGTCAAGAAAATAATAAAGAATTTCTCAGTGAGAAAATATTGGGACTATTTACTATGCTATTTCATGTTTTGTCCCCCTTACTACAAGTTACAAAGCTATTACATTACATAACATGTACAGTATAATGCAATGTAATGATTCTCCACAACAGGAAGCTATTTGGTAATTGTTCTGTAAATGGAAAACATCCCATGCATACAGGATGGGAAAGTAATAGCAGCAGCAACTAAGTGTTTTCCCTTCCTCCCAGGTAGCCGTTGCTTTACATGAATTTCTGTACTTTTGAAAATAAACTTTGTGGAGATTATCAGTGGTGCAAAGCGGGTGCCCCACGAAAGCCTCAGGTCATCAAGGTAGTACTAAAAAACCTCTCGGAGACAGAATCAAACACTGACAATCAGTCCACTCTCACCTGTTTCTCTCCTGTGCCGTCATCCACCATGCCGTGCTGAGCGGCCATGGCGGGGGAGTCGTGCAGACCGGCGGCGTCAAAGGGCACCTTCTCGATCTTGGCGATGCTGTTAGCGATGTAGGCCACGCCCAGGCCCTCTGTCTGATCTTTGTCCCGCCAGTCTTTGAAGAACTGTTTGAAGAGCGGCGTCTCGCCCATCTCTGGCAGGATCTGGACCTGAGTTTGTTTGGGGTACCCCATCTTCTTGATGAACTCGTCGGCAGCTTTCATTGCTTCCTTTCGCTCGTCCATGTTGGCGTCTTTGCCTGTGAGCAAGAGAAAAGATAGCTGAGGTGAGGATTATTAAATTGTAATGTCATTATTAAATAATTATACATACTAACTAAAGAAATAGTGATATTAAAATTTTCATTTTGGAATTGTCTACAAGAATTCTTTCTGAGTTGTATGGTGAGCTAACTGTGGGAGTGACTCATAGACTTTCATGTCTGTACACTAAATACAAAGCAGCAGCCAGTTAGCTTAGAGGACAAGCTGGCAGGAGACCTCAAGGTGGCCTTTAGACTGCAGAAAGTCACAAGCCAAGAAATGGACATAAGCCTTTGTAAAACCACCAAGTGTGTTGGTTTTTGTATAGATTTAACCTACATAAAACATTTTAATTAGTGAGCTTTAGAGGTTTTTTACCTTTTGACAGAGCCAGGCTAGCTGTTTCCCCCTCAATCTTTGCACTAAGCTATGCTAAGCCAAACATCTCCTGGCTCTAGCTTCATATTTAGCGTACAGACATGAAAGTTATCCTTCATTCAGTCCTTCTCATCTAACTCTCAGAAAGAAAGCAAAGAAGAGCATTCCCCAGAATCTTATTATTCCTTTAATTTACCTTAAATATCACTGTAGTAGAACCTCTTGCTAAACATATGGGGAATCCACCGCATCACCCTGCACTGACCTTTCCAGACAAAGATCTTGCCATCGGAGCCGTGGTCCAGAATGAAGCAGTCGCCGGACTCCAGGGCGCTCTGGGTGAACGGGTTCTCTGCTGCCACCAGGGCGATGGTCATGCCTCCGCTGGCATTGGACACCTGCAGGAGGAAAAAAAAGGAAGAGAAACGTTGATTAGAGGCAGGAAGTGTCACTTCCTCCTCCTGGGTCTTTCAATCTAGGATATACGAGCTGCCATATAATCAACTCTATTACAGACAAATTCTCACTTAAAAGTACCCAGATATTTCAGAAGGAGATCGGTTTATCATGTGTATTTTAAGAACTCAAAAGTTATGTTTGCTGCTCCCAGAAGACACTGATTACCGAGTTAAAAGTAAAAAAGTTCTTCTTGCAGCAAACACAGTTCAAAAAATCTTGTCAGCACAAGAGATATTAAAGAGAAAACGACAGTCTGCGTGTCTGGGGTGTTCCCACTTCTCTCACCTTGTATAGTTTGGCCCTCTTCCTGTTGGAAGCATCAGCTTTGATGTCATCAGTGTCTCCGAGAGGCAGATCTGGTTTAGGACCCAATACCTGGGGACAGGAGTAGCGGTTTTAACGCAGATGTCCATTTAGGACTTCATCCGTTCTCACCCTGCACTGATCTTACCTCTATCATCTTCTCTCTCTCCACCCCCTCGTCACAGACATAGACTCGGGCCCTCCCACTGCGCTCGTTGTCCCGGATACCCTTGGCGACCTGAGTAGCCTTCAGCTTCTCAAAGCGGTTGCTCTGGGAGCCGCACCACTGGTAAATCTCCTGTACAGCAAGAAGAGGAGCAGATTGCAAAGTAGGTAAATAAAAGCCTGAAGGTGGAACTAGCATTTTGTTTTACAAAAATTAAGACCAACGAATGGATGTTAAAAAAAAAAAAGTAAATTTAACATCATAATATTTTGATTATCTAATATTGGTTTGGTTCATCTGCTCAGTCTGTCTCACATTTCCCAGGTCCAGGATGAAACAGTCTCCCTGGTTGAAGCTGTCCCAGCTGACTGCCACCTCTGTTGCCCGGACAACACGCCGACCTTTGACCTGGAGAACCCGCTGCACAACCACCTCGTTAGTGACAACATGCTTGAACCCAGACGCCACGCCCCCTTTCTGGAAGACAAGAGTTGCATTTCAAAAGTCAACAAAATGAACAACAAAAAATTATTATTTTTTTTTAAGGACAATGGAAAACAATGACAAAATAATGCAGTCATAACAGACCGATCGTCTATTTCACAGATGCAAAATGCAGTTTATGGTTTAAAATATGATGAAATACAACAAACATGCATCTTTTTCTTTGTACATAGATGTTTTGCAGCTATAAACATGACATCTCACCATGTATTTTATTCCAGACTTGAAGTAGCCAAGAAAGGTTTTGGACTCGTGTCCCTGGACCTCACGGTACTGGATGGGTTTTCCCCCCAGGAAGTCATCCATTTGTACTGTAAAGATTGCTGCCGAGCCGCTCTCATCCTGGGTGCATAAATCACCTGCAAGAGAAGCACCGCCGATGTGTTCCATATTAACCTTAGTGCCTATTTTATCTCAGTAGTCATCCTGTACAAACGTACAACTACGCAGAGAGCCATATTTTGTTTGACCAATTCACTCACTGAGGACTCAGTGAGTGAGGAGATCAATATGTGGGAGCAGCAGGGGGTCAGATCACAGCAGACACGTTCATACAAGCAACATTATTCTATTTTTGGTCACACAGAGTAGTTCAGCAGCTAGTGGGAGGATTATATCAGATCCTGTTTATTGGTAAATGCTGTTTCCGTGATCAATCCAAGCTGACTAAAAGCACATGAAATCAATAAAAATAAAAACACATGGCTAAGCTTTTCGCTGTCCTGTTTGTTTTAAGCTAATCCTAAAAATTACCCAGTCAGAAACCCCCTCTTCTATCAATACTCATCTACAGGACTAAGTTTCAGGTTTTGGCTGATCCGAATACCATGTCACATTGATGTCTCTGTCCAGTGAAAACCATCTATGAGGACACGGCTGAAAGATTAAATCCACCTTAATAAAAAATAAAATAAAAAACCCTCAAACGTGTAGTTTTACCTTTGATAACATTTTGCAGATAAGATGTTATTTCAACTAAGTCCTATTTTGAATCCAGAACTTTAACTTGTATGTTTACAATGTTGTATTGCTGCTTTAACTTCTGCATCTGAATACTTAGTCCACCGCTATCAATATAATTGTTTCTGTATGCTGGATGTTGGTGCAAAATGGTCTAGACAACATCACAAAACATATGTACCTTATGAGGTTTTGGATCATCATCAGAAAAAATGTCAGCTCCTTATGTAGTTCCTTGTAAGCCATTCAAGTCTCATAAGCTGATATCAATTTACAAAGCATGTCTATTCTACGCTCCTAAAAGGAAATCAGGCCCTTCAGATTTTAGATCTGAAGTAAGCAGGATGAGACGCAGCAGAAATATAAAACGCAACAGCAGAAGCGGAGGAAACACCGCCTGTAAACACACCGCGTCAATTAAAGTGCTTTTGTCGACTGGTTTATCTCTCCTCATCCTTCCAGATTCAATACGTCACACGCAAATTGTCAAGTGTAAAATACTTTCCAGGAGCACAGATATAGATCCTCATCTGCTTTGCAAGTCAAATAGGACTGTGACTGCACCGGTGATCTGTTCTTCTGTGTTTGGTCACATGTCCATGGAAACATCCACACAAACAAAAAAACAAAATGGATGCAGAAATGTTTGTCCCTTGTTGCTTTAAAAATGTGTTGAATTAAATTTAAATGTAAATCCATTATGCTGCCTTTAAGAAGAATTTGTTTTTGTTTTCCTATGCATCAACATTTGAATATGGTGTCTTTAAACTATATACTTATTTGGTCTGTCTAAGATTATTACTATCACTGTCATACGTTTTATTTTATTGTTTTGCGGGAGGGGCTGCACATTCAAGAAGTGCTGGATGACTGATGATTAAATTGATTTCCTGTTTACTTTGACACACACAATGTTAAATTAACCTTTCAGAGATCTTGTGCACACAGTTTATTTGATTTTACACACAAAAAAAAAACATCACAAAGAAGGAAAATGTCCCCACATTTTTAAAAGCAATGGACATACTTTAAAGCAAATCTTCCATGTACCTCTGCTTATTTCTCTGTAATAACACACCATCCATCTCACTGCACTCACCCAGCCAGTAGTGGAGGTCGTACTGCAGGTTCCCGGAGCGTTGTTTAATAGTGTTGAGGATGAGGTAGGCGTCTCCGGTGTAAAATCCGCCATACAGCTTCTCGGGAACAGGCACCAGGTCAAAATTCTCCACCCTCCACACCTGGAGGCCCGACTGCTTTCCGGCTCGCTCAAACTCTGGGTGTTGCGCTGCCATCCTGCCTGCAGGAAAATCACACACCTGAGATTTAGTGTGTTTCTACACTGCAGGTCTAAACATACAGGTGAGTTCCAGTGGCAACAAGCTGTGGTCTAACACTCCCGAACAGTGTTCAAACTCTGCAGCGAGAGTCATAGAGCTTTGTAATAACTTTACAGTGTGACTGGGACTCCCTAGTTGTGAGACGTTTGCTCTGGAAAACATAAAGCCGCGCCTCTTAAGGCTGCGTTGTTGTCATGGACACAGATAAAGTTTAGGGTTATAGTCAGATATTAGTGCACAGCAAGGTGAGTCACTGGTGGCCTGTGCCCAGTGTGTTTCCTGCAGTGGGGAAGGGGAAGTCCTGTCAGTTATGACTCAGGCGTTGTCATAACTTCCAGTGATAGTGGCAAAATAAACACTGTGTACAGTTATAGCTAGATAGATAGCTAGATAGACTGGTAGTATATAACTAGGTATTTTTGTTCCTCAGTCTATCATAACAATATAAACACAGCCACAAATATCTGGTCTCCAGGGGTGGGAGATATGGAGAAAAACTTCTACCACACTGTATGCAACTTTGTTGTTTCTTTGAAAGAGGTCATATTCTGCTTTTTGGCTTTTTCCCTGAAAAACACCCCTGAAAAATCTCTTCTCGCTTCCAAACACTAGCTACCCTCCAGGCAGTCAATGGACATAAAGTTGTTACTGTGATGTAGAGACAGAGCTCAGTTAAAACGTTATGGATGAAAAATACTTTTGTTATAAATTAATAACTCACCACTCTGAAACTCTTGCTCCAGTCCATATTGCTAAGCTGGTAAGGGGAATGTAAACAGCTGAACAGAAGCCGTGTCTACTGGCTTCTCACTGACCCGCCCTACTCTGCTTCTGATTGGCTAGTAGTCCTTCACTAGGAACTGTGGATATGCGACTCCCAACAAAGATCATGTAGAAGCCAGATGCATCAGTCCATAGCTAAAACGAAGCCATACAGGGTGCAAAGAGGAGCTGCAGCAATGTGCAGTAAGACAAAAATATGGTGTTTTTTTGAAAATTAAACCATGTAAACCTATTCTGGTACAACCCCTAAATAAAATGATAACCCTGAAAATGAGGATAATATGACCTCTTTAATTTGTTACCAAAATAGTCAGTCAGACACTGGTCCAGTCACAAGCAAATTCACAAACACTCACGCCCAAACATTCATGTACACACACACCATTCACTTCAGCCATATCTGACAGCATACAATGAAAGTGGCGCCCAACCAAGTAGGTGTCTGTGCTGCATTGGATTACAACCCACAGGGCTCTTAGTAGCATGTGTGAGTGTTTGAGATTTTTAAGATGGGAGTTAAGAATCCTGTTAAAATCAGTCTGGAAACTGTTTGTAGAATAGTTTGAATAGAATCGGCTGACTCTGTCGGTTTGGACATGCTTCAGGCGTCTGTCTTAGAGAATTTAAAGGAACTGATTATTTGTCTGGAAAAGTGTGGTTAAAGACAGCATAACAAAGAAGTGGTAGAATGGAACTACTTGTAAATTTGTAAGTACTCTTACAACGTTTATGAAAAGTTTACTTGTATTTTACTTTCAACATTATACTTTTAACTCTAAGTGGCACATGTACACTTCTGTCTCCCTTACATTGACAGCTATATTGATTTATACCTACAAATTCAAGATCATATAAAATATGATGTATTATTATAAGTTTAACTACTCAACTGTATATAAAGTAGTTTAGTCAGCTACATCATTCAAAAGCTGCACAAAGCTGCACAACAATTTCTCTAAAGTGAAGCAGTGTTCTCAAATTAGAACCTCATCTCTCTGAAAGGGCTTCTGTGGCCTTTCATGGTGCATATCCTCTTAATTTTACTAATTTGTTCAAATGTTGATGTGCTTAAGACATTCAAACCATCAATGCTCTGAACTATAAGGAGCTGTTAAGAAAGCTCAGCTCAAGGTATCACAAAATATGTAAAAACTGGAGGTCATGTAGTTCAAAATGAACACAGAATCCAGTTTACCACAGGAATGCTGCTCGGACCAGCCGCCTCTCAATTTGCATGACTAACCGTCCATGTTGGAGCAATAATAGGCCATTCTTCTAGGCGGCCGTCTGCCCACAAACATGGCAGGAATCTGCTCCTGACCCTGGAAGAAGGAAGTGGCTCAGAATTCACGTAACGAGGCCAACAAATGTGGGGTTCCTCCCCCCCCCATTGATGCTCTCCTCTTACGTAACAACCAGACTTCACTGCACATTACTTTGTAGCTCTGGAAAGTTTCAGCATGGAAAAGTATTTTCACAGTCACCATTACTGATTTTTAAATGGGACACCAATATAATGCTCTTTTAGATTTTGCATGAATGAGTATGGAGTGTATGCAGTCAAAAAAGCAAAAATGTAGCCACAACAAACGGGTACCAGGAGTCATCTGAGGTCATGTACCGTCTGACCTTCCATGACACTGCAGCGCCTGTATCCAGGACATAGAGAAACTGGGGCTGCTGCGCAATTCCACTGGGGTCATAATAGCTTGATGGAGGACATGGAAAGCTGAATTTTCCTACAGCGGCTCTAAAGTAGCCTGCTGGAGTTTCCAGCCTAGAGAAACTTGAATGCCACAAAAGTCAGACAGAAAATCTGCAGTGTCTGTGGCCACACAGGAATATTTACATAAGCCTTAGGTGAGTAGCAGCAATGTTTAATCACTAATTTGTCAAGCCTGAAAACAAATATACCAATAGATAAATCGCAGTTACAGGAGAAATATGGTTACACTGATAAATTGATGCAAATTATAATTTTTTTTTACAAGGACATGGAAATGATAAAATGAGGACACCTTGAATACTATCACATACCGTTATCAAGTGTTTAAGAGGGTGTCATGCTGGAGGGGGTTTTATTTTTATTTAATGGACTAAGAAACATTTATTGATGCGGATCATCTGGCTTATATGTCGCAGTTTGGCTAAGCCTTCAGACCTTCTGTTTCCCTGACAGCAGTGTTTATCAAAAATAATCAGCAAAAGTTCCTGCTGGATCTCTCTTCAGGCCGGTGATTGGACATAGTGGACTGGATAGTCAAGATAAGATGTTAAGCCAATTAGGTGTGTTTTCCTGGTAAAGCGTGCAATACAGACTCTCTTTATCCTAGGATGTTCAGTGTATAGGTAGAGGGATATACTGTATATCTTCTGTAATACTGTGGAATTGATTAATGTAATCTCAACACAAATTTGTCATTTTTAAACGTAGGGGAACAGCTCAAGATTTTGGGAAACGCCCCTTTTGGGAAACGCCCCCCCCCCGGTCACAGAGTTAGATGAGAAAACGTATACCCCTCCCATGTCTGTGTCTAAGTACAGAGCTGGAGCCAGGAAGCGATTAGCCTAGCTTAGCAAACAGCTAGCTTAGGTCTGTCCAAATTTTTAAATTCAGCACCCCTAAAGCTTGCTATTTAACACAGTGTATCCTGTTTGTTTGATCAGTATACAGGCAGTAATGTAAAAACAAACTTTTAGTGGGAGTATTGTGATATATTTCTTGGAAAAGAACAGTGACTTCCGGGAGTCTTGTCATTACGGTGAAGCTCACGGTACAAGGTAGATATATCTATCATTTCACAACACGGGGTTGTATAACAAGATGAGAATGCAGTTCCCTTTATTAGTGTTGTAGTACTCGAGACCGGTCTTGGTCTCGAGACCATTCTTAAGACCATTTTATGAAGGTCTTGGTCTCGTCTCAGACTCGACCGCATTTGTACTCGGTCTTGTCTCGGTCTCGGACATTGGAGGACTCGGGATTTTATTTCAAGACCATAACTTTGGGAATTGATAAATTGCTTTCCCATTGTCTAATTTATTTGTTAACATCCTAACTTTGATTGGATGGAAAACATATTTCTTCAAATGAAACCAATAACGCTTATTAAAAATGTGGTGTTCCCATTAAGGACTGTCCCCCCTTCCCGCGAAGGTAAACATGGAAAAGGAGTACTGAATAAAGATGCTTGCGTTGATTTCAGCTCTAAGTGTTTGTATGTGGGTGGAGGGTGACCCATGGTGTCATCTTTGTTCATCTGTTAATAACCTGTAGCTCTGTTTGCCCTGCGGGTAGCTTATTAGTGTGCTCTTGAACACCTGTGGCACCACTTCCTGGGTTACTACTCCTGACTGCAGTCTAATCACACTCTACTCCTCCCCACAGGCACACCACTCTCTGGTTTATGTCGCTACAAGTTTATCCTTATGTTTTTGTTGTGCACCAACACCCATCCCTTTCACGCATGCACCTCACACATGTTGAGTATTTTTACTTTGGTATTTGATTTGGTCTAATTAACAAAATAGTCTTTCTTAACAGTTTCCCTTGGTTTGTCCCCCTTTTATTGTTGCCACTAGAGCCAAGCCATAACAGGTGGGTACTGTCTTTTTTAATCCTTTGGGCTCTGCAGAGTGTTAAGTTTACTTATAAGTTTCATGGGGGAGATTGTGTTGAATGCGGAGCTGAAATCCACAACATTCTGATGTAGGTGTTGGTTTTTCCCCCGGTGTGAGGGGGGATGAGTAGAGGTCATTGGAGATGGCATCCTTTGTGGATCTGTTGGTTCTAAAAGCAAACTGGTGAGGGTCCCGGCTGGCTGGGATGTTGTTGTTGTGAACCAGTTACTGAAAGCACTTCATCAAAATGGGGTTGAGTGCCTAAGGGTGGTAGTCGTTCAGACTAGATACTGCAGACTTTCTAGGTACAGGAACAGTGGTGGCTGTCTTAAAGCAGGTGGGAACCCTCTCCTGAGACTGAGAAATGTTGTAAATGTCAGTAATGACATTAACTAGCTGATTGGCACAGGTTTTTAGTACACGGCCATTAATGTTATCAGGCCTGTGATGTTTTTGATGGCCGGCCATGTATCTTTGGTGTTGCTGGTGTTGAGGTCTCGCTCCAGTCTCAGCTTTGCCTCCTTGATGCCAGCTTTCAGTCTCGCTCTGGCGGTCTGTATGCTTCCTTGTCACCTGACTGAAAAGCAGATTTTTTTGGTTCTGGATAGAGCCCTCACCTCTCATAGAGGCTTTCTGGTTGGGGAATGATTTTATTGACTTTGAGATCACCACATCATCAACACATTTGCTGGTTTTCCTAAGTGGGGGCCTCTCTGAACATATGTCAGTCTGTGAATTCAAAACAGTTCTGTACAGCTGCTGTTGCCTCATCTCTCCAGACTTGTCAGCCTTTTTGTCAGCTGGGTGTAAGTAGGCAGAAGAAGCAGGGAAATAATGGCTGAAAATGGGGGCGGGGGAGAGGCTTGTATCTGCCAGGAATATCTGTGTAAAGATGGTCCAGGGTTGTGTTTCCCCTAGTACGATGGTGATATGCTTGTGGAATTTAGGTAAAACAGCCTTGAGCCCCGTTTGATTAAAATCGCCAGCTACAATTAAATGACCATCCGGTTGTTTTGTCATGTGACTACTGATGACCTCATTCAGTTCCTGTAGTGCATTTTTTGAATTTGCATCTGCAGGAATGTGAACAGCAACAACAAACACACTGGTGAATTCTCTGAGCGGATAATATGGTCGACATCTAAAAATTCCACATCTGTAGGTTGTCATGTTCTTCAAGAAATAGCAACAACACGTAATATACCCCTGAAACCCCAAAATTGTTGTTTTAACATTTCTTGCTACACATTAAACAAATAAGATACAATGTGTTATTAGTGTTAGCACGTTAGAGAAGGCGTATTGTTCATCTTTGGACAGAGCCAGGCAACCCTTTTTCCCATTGTCTTCAGTCTTTAAGCTCAGCTAGGCTAATCGCCTCCCGTTGCCAGCACCACACCTAACACACAGACACGAGAGTGGTTTCGATCTTCTCATCTCCTGCTTGAAAAGCAAGCAATTGGGCTAAGCGGATCTCCCAAAATATATAACTATTCCTTTAAGCAATTTCTATGACAATGATGAGTTTAGTGACCCGTGATCCCATAATCGCATTTGGTGACAGTACCTCATAACTGAGTATACCATAAATGGTTTGAATATTGCATCTAATGCATCTAAATGAGGTAGCTACCACATCCTCCAAACTGCTACTCCCTAAATATCTGGGTAACCATCCAAAACAGCAGTGTTGAGAAAATACAATGACTTTATGTTCCCAAACAACTGGTAATAAATTTGAAGTAACTTCTGCTGGAGTTGATTTACAGCCTTTCATTAAACTGACACACCCTGCAATATGAAAACAGTTTGCATGCAGAGATCTGACCCGAGCAAAGAGACCCTTCATTAACACAGGGACGGATGTACCGCAGAGAAATGTACTTTTAATTTGAAACCAAGTTTGTGAAGGTAACATTATGGCTTATAAGCACCTGGAACTGTGGTCATGAAGCAAACATACAGTACGTCAATGTACAGAGAGCAACAGGAAAACGTGTTACCGCCGTATTCACTGCACCTACACTTGGAAGTAAAGTTTAACATCATTGCTTCTATGGAGTGCACATTTCATGACAAAAGGTGCCAAAGTAACCCATTCTGTCCCCATGACAAATGCTCAAAGACATGCTGCATATGTAGCCCTCAGATTGCCTGAAAATAGAGCTGCTTTTTTTTAAATCCTGAAAAGTTGACTTGTTCGAGAAGTCTTTATATCCAATAGCAGCTTTACACCAATAGAATATATCACTTCTGTGGGACTACCTACTCTGAAGATCTTTGTTTCTGTGGCACTACAAAAATATAACATTGCTTGTGATCGTCCCCTCTGATGGAGAGAAATATTCTTACTGTCTCTATGCATCAAAGCCGTTTTATCCCACAGTAAGATACCGTGTCTGTGACTTAATAAAGCAAACATCATCACATCTGAACCACTTCACACTGTGAAAAATCAAGGGCAGTATTAAGAAAAGTAATAACAACTCTGACAAAAGATAGATAACCACCAGATAAACATATTTTAATATTTTTGTGCAAACTTTTGTTAAACAAAGGGCAGCAGCTGACTAAAACAAACCATTAACCATGAACCATTTCTGGCAGCTCCAGATTGGATAAAGTGACTCAGGGGGTTGGGAGGGGGGGTAGTTTGTTTGACCCAACACACACACACAGCTTTGAGCTTAAATAGAACAGGTCACATGACTATTGGTAAGCTGCTTCTTCACAGTCATGCTTTGAAAAGTAGATGGTGCCTTCAGGCCTTACCACACCTCTGCAGAGCCGGAGGTATTTGTCGAGTTCCTACCTCTGATCACTGGCTCTTTGACGCACCCTTCGCCTAACAATAATCTGGGTCATTCCTACCTCAGTTATTTGGTCCCATCCCCCAGTTGTTTAACCAGCCCCAAGTTGAGGCCTGCATGAAAACTCAAAACCTCCACTGTGCAAACAGAAAAAGTCGATTCATATGATAAATATTTTTTATGCCCTTGTGATTTGTCTGCTGGTGTCCCACTTGCAATAACAAGCACATGATCGTTTTATCTGTAAATTCTGAATTTGTGGGCTTCAGTCCAGAGTTTCTCCCACAAAAAGAGATTCTGCCTTTAGGAAAGGGATTTCTTGATGACTCACTTTCTCCATGCATGCCGCTCTCAGCCTCTTGAGGGCTGTGCAGCTGCCCTCCAGCTCGCTCAGGGCAGAAAACACTCTGCACAGACTCTACACTCTTTATTAGCCGCTTGGCTTCCCTTTAATCTGTTTACACAGTGTAAAACAAAGGTCATTAAAGAGGCTTTTATAAATAACCGCTGTCATATCTGGATGGTGTTTAAGGATATGAGCAGGTTGTTCCAGAAACAATCTACCTGAAAACGCTTTTTGGAATCAGCCAGCCATGGCCCAGGTACTCTGTAACCAGTTCTGTTTTTGATTGAATCAAATCAAGCATATGCCCTAAATGCAAAGCCGCGTGTGTTCTGGGACAGAGGTGTGGTTATTTGTTTTTTAGTCAATGGGAACCCCACCCAAACTTGTCTTCCCTAATCCAGTGTCAGTAAATATTGTCTACAACAGTTAAGTTCATCTCTTCGAATGAGTGTTTTTTCAAATTGAGAATTTGAACATTACTGTGTCATGTTGAAGATTTTAATACTTAAAGAAGGGTTTAAGTTTGAGGTCTTTTGTAAACCATGAACCATTCAACTGTCCAGAAAATTACTCATATGAATGCTTTCTGATCTTCCACCCCAATGGTTAAGCTCGGGTTAGTTTTAGGCAACTAAAACTACTTTGGAAAGGGAAAGATTTCTTTCAAGTCACACTATTCTTGGTAAGCACTGATTTCACAATTTGCAAAAGACATCCAGACATTTTTGGCTTGAATTTGTTGAGTTGAAAATCTATAGGTCTGTCTAAGTTATGTTTCATTTATGCTATAATCCAATATGTAATGAGGAATAAATGAAAACTCTGGTTACAGGTAACCTAGACAGTGCCAGCTTTAATACATACATCTTCTGACCTGCAAATTATTGTTTACTGGGTTTGTATGCCAAACCATCCACCCAACCTCCTTCCTAATGTGACGCCATCTCCATGTTTGCTCCAGAGAGATGATATGCATGACTGCAAGAGGCTGCTTGTCAGGAGTGGCAAGCGTAACCTTTGTTTACGATTTAAAAGTTAAAGAGATGCTGTCATCTGTCGTGTAAGGACCATCTCCCAAATTTGGATTTTCTGGCTCCAGCAGCCCACATATATTACAGCAAGCAGGAGCCTAAACAGTCAGACTTCAAAATATCCCCAAAGAAACCTTTTGGTGACATCCCTGACAACTTGTCTATGTTTTACACTCTTTTGAGCCTTGACAAGGCATTTTGAGAACAACCTAAAACTAAGTTAGTGCTAAAATGACACCAGGAATGCGTACAACATGATGGCATTCTAGTCAAACAACCTGACTGTATTTCCTTTCTTTCTTTTTCCTTGTTCCAAATATGGCGATTATGTTCACATACAATAGTTTCCAGTTCAGCTGCCCCACCCACTTGCACACATGGATAGAAAGCATGCGCACAGTTGTTAAAGGCTTATATCTAAATCTACATTGGGGTGCAGTGCAGTTGGTGGGTTCAGGAATCCCTGTAATCGCTGTCCGTCTGATGGCTTAGTGTGGATCTGACACAGCGCTTTCTGGTTGACTCTAACAAAGGTCTGTCTATGGCGTTCTCATACACACAGAAAAACCTATCCAGCAAACTGTCTGAGGCACGCACTTAGCCCAGCTGCTGTAACAACTCACCACAAAAAAGGATGTTCTGACTTACTTCCGCAGTGAACAGCCCCACTATTTGTGTGTTTCTATGGCAACCACAGATGTCTTTAAATAGAGGTTAGCATATGCAGCTGCTGAGGAAAATCTCACCATTTTTAAAGGTGACGCTCAAACTAATTACTTGACTTTTTTACTATGATGCAGCAAAACAGAGCATGTTAAATGTTGCCCTGGGGTTGGAGTCACATCATGGCAGCCTGAACTCACTTTAAACAGTTAAGGAGTATGTGACCAAATCTGTGTGGCCACTTTAAGTGGAATCACACAGTATTTTCAGTGATCTTCCAGTTTTAACTGCCTGTCCTTATATGGCCGCAGTTGTGTTGCACTTCAGGGGTTTACAGGGTTTACTTTGAAGGAGATAGACAAAAAAATAACTTGTGTTCAAGTTAACCATTTTACATGAAGAAAGAATCCAACTTTTTCACTCTATAGCCTACAAACTCTTTCTGCCCAGCATCAAACCTTTGTTCCAGTCTGCATGGGAAGTAATGGTTCACTTGATTATTACAGCAGACCTAATTAAGGCATCAGACAATCTGTGCGCGCAGTAAGGCTATAATGCTTTTTTTGTTGTTGTGGACAAAGTGGATTATAACGTACCTGAAAGCGTAGGTTGTGATCGGGGACGGACGGACGGTTGTGGACCTGACTGAGCCGCGGTGAGTGCTTCTAGCTGCAGTGGGAGCAGAGAGGCTTCGAGTCGGCGGGGCGGCGCAGCGCAGAGCCGCTGTTTATGCTTCTGGACCGGGACACTCCCCGTTATGACACTCCCCCGCTGCACAGCCTGCAGAGGGGCGGCCGACACCCTGTTGTACTGTCAGCTTGTCTCACCAGTTTTCTGTCTATCTATCTAGCTTATAGGCTATAAAGCACTTAGGTACAAGGTACAAGGTGGGCCTACATGTATTCAGCATTTTACAACACAGGGTTGTAGAACGAGATGTAGTTGTAGTTCCCTGATGAAATTATGACACATAAAAAATATAGGCCTATATCCTACCGTAGATAAATAGTCATAGAAATAAAAAAAGGTTTACATGGTGGAATGCTAATAATGAATTACAGTGTACATTTAATTGCCTGTGTAGGGGTTGTAAATGCAAGCTCAGCCCGGACTGAGCCTGCACTTCCGGTCACCAACAGAGTGTGCATAATGAACAACACTGCCCCTGCGTGGTGCCAACGTCTGTCTTTAACATGATCATGCAGGCTACTTGCTTTAGGCATGTGCTTGCTCATGGTTTTCCCCATGTGCTCACAGAGGGTCAAAGGTTGGCAGCAGCCCTTGTCATTGGGAAAAGTGAAGTCCTGTGAGATTCAGACTTGTTTTTTCAGAAAAGGAGATTGCTGCTCACTGTTCTTGCAGTTATGACATGTATTTAGTGCATGATAATAGTAATAATAAAAATATTTCAAGATATTACATAAGCCCCCTTTCAACACACCTGCATGAAAAACTGGGTGTGCAAGTATCTGTTTCCTAATCTGTTAACATTAACACCATTTAACACTAATGAATCTGAAGGCAGACAGAGGTTAGCAGTGGTGTAAGTCCTTATAAAAGTATGCTGCAAATATTACTGTGAGATACTATCACATATTATCACACACTAAAACACATCCAAAGCTACATCTTTGTGTCATGTTTCTGTGCAAAGAAAATTAATTTATTAGTAAAATGAATATGCATTAAATATGCAGTTCTTACAGAATCATAAAATTATGACTGTTGTATATAATCTCCAATTGCAAAGTAAATATTTTGCATGGTATGATTGTAATATCTACAGCAAGAGACTGAAAGCATATTGCAAAAAATTAGACTTTTAGATAATGAAGTCAAAGGGGTGGACGTGACTTACAGAAACACAGCTTACAATGAAAGAACAATAAATTATCATTCTGGGATGCCTTCCAAAAACAAAGATTTATCTTTTTGGACACATTAGGGATGGTGTAGCATGGACAACATGCTTATGTTTTACAAAAGTATTGTCTAAAGCTGGATAATAAGAACATACAGCCATCTGTAGCAACAACTGTCAAAATGCTTTTTGGAAGTCAATGAACATTCCCTGTGGATCCTTTTGGATGATGTAGAGGCAGGCCTCATAACATGACATCTTTTAGCTCTAATGGCTCCTGGTGCTGACTGCTGCAGATATTTGGTATATAGGTTGACTTAGGTGAGAATGTCTTTGACTTGGTAAAGTAGAAGACGCTGCCCTCCATTATCATATAATCTGGAAGAGTTATGGCGTCATCTTATTAATGTTCCAAACCATTGCAGAAAAGATTTATTCTATCAGAGTTATTTCAACCAGAGCAGGGTGCCACTGGCAGAAATCATTAGTTCTAATTGTTCATATTGTTCAATGCTATATGGAGAGTAAATGTAATTGCTCTGTATTTGTATCGCGCCTTTCTAGTCTTTGCAACCACTTAAAGCACTTTTACACTACATCGCATTCACCATTCACACACATTCATACACCGATGGAACAGCCACCAGGGGCAATTCAGGGTTCGGTATCTTGCCCAAGGACATTTGCAGCCAGGAGGAGCTGGGCATTGAAATGCCGATCTTTCAATTAACGGACAACCCACTCGATCTCTGGAGCCACAGAGAAAAACTTGTCCACACAATTGCCACACTGCCATCAAATCTGTGGGTTTTTACATTGTTGAACTTTTATTTTGTCTTTTCTGTCTTCTTCATAGGCATGTATGTATTCTGACACCACCTCTGCTACTACTACTAATAATAAAATGATTAATGATAGTTACATGTAATTTGTAGCATTTGAAATCAATGGCGTTTATTTTAATTGTATAAAGGATACAGATTGGCCCTGGGTGGTTTTCAGACAGAATGTGCCACAATGTGTATGAACCCAAATTCAACATTATAGACTATATTAAACTTAACTTATTTATATTTAACATGTCACATAGCATATTTATAATTATGTTATTATAAGTACTTTTTTAAAGCAGTGATAAAGGTCTGTTGTGGTACAGTAAGTTAGTTTTTACTCTTTTAATAGATGTGCAAGGTCACATTCAACATTTCCCGTAACTGACACCACCTGCATTGTCTGTATATCTGACAATAAAAACGCACCAGTGTACTCATGGATCTTGCAGGTGAAACTGACTTGGGATTTTATTTCTTTGCTTGCTTGTTTTTTATGCAGTAGGTTGATTTGTAAATCCCACAATATTTCATTCATCATTGTGAAATTACAGTAAAAGACAAACATCAATTGCACGAATTGCATGGGTTTGGAAATCAAAACACAAATTCAGACATTATATTTTCTTTTTTAAATCATGTTCTTTTTTGGCCTTTTTGAAAGAACAGAATAGAATATGATGGGAAGAGAACTGAGGTGAACATTAACCTAGTGGCCCTTTACCTTACTGTAAACCCACAAATTCAAATCTTGGTGGCCCTCTAGTGGACAAAAAACAAAATCAGTGTAACAGAGTAACGTCCTTACTGAAATACACACCACACAAATATGAGACAATTGACTGAACAAGAAAGTTAATAACAAGCATTATAAGCTGGTTACTGCATGGCCTACTGTAACTTAACGACATTTGATTTGAGTGATGTGAAAAACTACCAATGTTAATGTTGGTAACAAAATGTTGCATGAGGGCAGGAGGAAAACAGTTTTACTCTCCTTGGGGATTAAATGTTAATTACAGATGTATGCAAATCACATGCTGCCTTAAACAGACACTGTATATCAAATTACTCCCACAGATGTACATCATCCATGTCTGCCAGTTTCAAAAATTAGGGACTCACATTGCACACATGGAAAGGGCTCAAAGATGAAAAAATCCCAACAAGAACGTCTTGTTTTTGTGACTTGCCGTTTCAGACTGCAACACAAGCTGCATTCAGCCTGACAGGAAGTCCCGCAACCCTCAACAGGCAGAGCCGTACACTTGAGACTTGGACATGAGAAGGGCATAAAGGGTTAGCTCCCCCAAATCACAAAAAAATATGTTTTCCCACAAACCCCTACTAGTAACAATGCAGATAGTTTTGACTTTATTTGAAAAAATTATAATATTGTAAAGGCATACAACAGGAAATTGAATGTCTTTTTCTAATAATGGATGCTTTTTATATTTCTGTAGGGATGGCAATGACAGTCAGTAGGTCTGTCGGTGTGTCTGTCACTTTGATCCAGACCACATTATCTCATTTCTTGACAATGCTACCACATTGAATCCTAAAATCTGTGATCTTGACACTGCAACTATGAGGTTGACACTCGTGGTTTTGGGTGAAATGTCTCAAGAACTATAGAACCGTGGTCTGCCGTGAAATTTGGTTCACACTTCCTTGTTCTTTCCTTTTCAACTAATGCCATAATCATGAAGTCAAAATTTGGTTTGGGACCAAACGCCTGTAGAACATGCTAATCTAAAATGGTAAACATCTTAACCATTCCACCTGCTAAACCTCAGCATGTAACCATTGTTAGGACGTTATCCTGGCATTAGCATTTAGCTCAAAGCACCACTATGCAAACTAAATGGAATTTGATTTGTAAACCTAAAAGTATTTTTTAAAATGGCATTTAAAAACTAAACAGCAATGTCTCTGGAAACAATATCCTGGTTACTCTGAATAATCCACAAATCTCACTGTGAACAATTGTCATCAGAAAATATCAAAGATTTTCAGTTGTCCCAGTGAAAACAGTTGACAGTGAGAAGTTTGTGAATATTCCCAGTCATCCAGGTCATTCAAGGTGGCTTAAAAATCAAGGGCAACTGGACTTGGTTGAAGATACTTGATGATGTTTCGCCTCGCATCCAAGAGAAATAACTGAAGAAGCCAGTTGCCCTTGATTTTTGACCCACCTTGGAAAAGTTGACAGTGAGGTTTGTGTCTTATCCTTGAGGATGGATACGTGAAACTCTGACTGCCAGTTGGTCATTGCAAAATTTGAGGATTTCAATATTTCAGAATCAGAATAACCTTTATTAGTCAAGTGTCATTGGTGAAACATACAAGAAATTTGTCTTTGGTTTTCAGTAGCAATTGATGTCCTTTTACACAGTACACAGTAGCACACATTTGATACAGGAACTACACAGACAAGCGTTGTGCAAACAGTATCTATATACAGCCCAGGTTGTTACTATATACTACAGGGTTATGGTAGTGCAAGAGTGAATGGCAGCACAAAGAAAACAGGATAATTAGTCTCCCTATATACAGAGATGATTTATGTGCATACATTGGAGAGAGTGTACAGTCACACTAGGGCATAAGGAGATACTGTCTGGTTAAAATATACATAGGGCCTACTCATACAATTTGAGAAAGCTTTCATATATAATATGACCACAGGTTTTGAGTGGATCCCTAAATTGGAGAAGGTTGGTTGATACCTGTGGGCTAGTCACATTTGAAATGGATACTTCAAGGCGCCACAGTGTGACCAGATGTTACTGAGTAACTAAATAACTACATTGTCTTCTTCCTCTTCTTTTCAACATGAGACACTTGGATACTTAAGTAAAGTTTGTATCAAGTGACATTGTTAGCTTTCAGCTTGAATACACAGTATGATACTCTCTCCATCACTATAGCTAGGTGTCTACTCATCCATGTGCACGCGCATGCCTGTGCATCAGCCATGCTGTGTGCGCGCGCATTATAAAAACCCTTTGGTTCACGTGCGGAAAGAGACTCTAGAGGGGTGGGGAAGAAGTGACTTGTGGGATGCGGCAAGAGAGGCAGAGGGGAGAGTGAGTGACAGAGTGAAAAACAGAGTGAAACAACAGCGAGGGGAGCGGGAAAGAAAAGGAGGAGAGCATTAAAATAACCCGCGTTACGGTTATTTCAGCATCTGACATTCAGGTTTGCGCAGACAGATAGCGGAAGAAAAAGTTCAGAGCCCACGAACCAGCGCGTGGGAGTGGGAAGCAGGATCGTGACTGACTGAGGAAAGCTCCACTGTCTGTCTCATCATGGCAGGTAATCCAATCCTGCCATTACACACATAAACACCACGAACAGGTCGGCCTTCTTAAAATGCGACATTGTTCCAAAACAAGCTCTTTGCTCCGACGGCTGCAAGATTTCGCGAACCCAGCCCAGTGTCAGTTTAGCTAGCGGCAGCTAGCTAACAAAACTTAGCTAGTGCTAGCTAGCAAAGCTAGCAAGCAATCTTGAGTGTCATCGCCCATCTGGCCCGTCTTTGCCGGCTAAAGCTAGTTAGCCAGCTGCTGCTAGCAAAGGATAGATGTTTACCATTATCACCGGACCGGGACCGGTCTCGCAAGCTAACACTGCACACAGTGATAGCCAAACATAGCTATCCGCTACATTAACATCTTATGCTAACTTGTCGTAACTTAGCTTTAACGTTAACGGCTGCATCTCAGACTTAACGTTATGCACGGGACATAAAAGCCACTAATTGAGGTGATGTGGTCTGTTGGTCGTGTTGAAACATAAAGCAAATAGCTAGAGGTGGAACCGGTGGTTTCCAATCCAGTGCACACATTTCTCAAACATGCCATGACTGGCTTGACAAGCCTGGCTAGCTAACGTTAGCTCGAACTTTGACATTGCCCACATGCAGGCTAGTACTCCGGGCCTGCTGCAGGCTGAACAAGCTGTTAAATGTTCTGTGCAGTTTCTGGTTAAAAGGACCGAAAAGTCAAAGGAGCCGGTGTTGGTGACACACATGTACTAAAGTGGAACATTTCCTCTTTCAAATAAGATCCAGATAGTCAAAGGTTTGTTTAGCCTAACGTAGCATCGCGCATTTCATTCATCATCTGATACTTTGCTGTGAATGTAGTTAAAAAGTACATGCGACTTAAGTTCCTTGTATCTTGAGATTACTGGCTGTCTAACGTTATTCGTTTAGCGTTTAAAAAACAATAGGTCACTACCAATATGGATTTGTTCTCTTTGGGCGGGGAACTGACACTGGTCTTTGGGCAGAGGTAGTGCATATCATCCTCTTTTGAAAACTGACTGAGATTATTTAAACATTAAAGCACCTGTTTGTTCTGTGCATTGTATTCTTAAACACATGCAGGCAACCTATTAGAGTCCTACATTACTATTCCTGTTCTGCCTTTTTGTTTAAAGTCATGATTCATTTCAGAATACGTGTATGTTGAAGCCCCGGTGACTCATAAATGTCCTTGATCGTTCTGCAGAGGTGTTCTGCTAGCTTTGGACATTGTTATCGACAAATCAGACCAGTTTTCATTGTGTAATAACCAAACTGATCACGTGTAAAAATAAAACAAAATATGCGGAATCCAGTAGCTGCATTGTGCAATGAGCTATGTTGATGGAGAACCTGTTGAGGCAAGTGATGGAGGTCATAATCAAACAAGGCAGCATGTTTTTTTCTTGTTGATGTATTTTTAACATAGGAGTCCGGCATAAGAGCATCTCCTGCTGGTATATCAGTTGCCTGGGCTTAAAATAAAGTGTTAGTATGATCTGGAGTTAAGTCTGTATTTAGGAACATGATTTGCAATTGACTTTTCCTCTCAAAGTGAGAACTACAGCACCAACTAAGGCTCAAATCTGTCTTGAGGGAAATGCAAAACTGCTCTAAAGATAATGATTTGGTGGATTTACATTATTTACATTTGAAGTGGCCAGTATTTCATGTCAGTTTAAACAGTTTTTGCCCTCTTAATGTGCCCATAACATAACTGGCTTTGCAGGGATCATGTGTGGAACAGTTCTGGGATAGCTATATCTTCATTTTCGGAGAGATTAAAAAGTTTCATGTGATATCTATTTCATTCTTTTGAGGGTAGTAGGAAGTTGTGAGAGGATGTGTGTACATATGTCTGCATAAATTTGCGCAACAGGTCTGCCATCTGTCTGTAGTTCAAACATCATTTTAGTTATACAATTTGCTGAAACAAAAAGTGCTGCCTTTGAACCACTTTCATAGGAGTCTGTTCTGACAGACCACACTGTGTGGTTAGTTATTGCTGAGGCACTCTGTTTCATTATCTGCAAAGAATGTTCAACTTGGCCGTCTTAATCTCAACCACTTGCACATCATCGTCGATGCCCACTGCAAGACAGTTAACACCTGGGAAACATGAAGCTTGAAATGAAAATATGTCTAGTAAGTAAACTTGCAACCTGCCAGAAATTTACTTGAATGTTTATTTTTTTCCACTCTGCAGGACCTGGAGGTGACATGCAGTGGTGCTTCTCTCAGGTGAAAGGAGCCATCGACGACGATGTAGCTGAGGGTATGCGCTCTGCCAAAAACTTACTAAATTTAAAGCATGGATGGGAACGTAGGAAAAATGTTCTAGGTACTAGATAATACACAACAGCATGCAGTGAGTGAGCATATGGTAGCTTCCTCATTTGTTCCATTTCCACTTTATAGATGAAGCACTATTTAACCATGCTGTAGTGTGATGAGCTGTGATGCTACGTATTTCAACTACAACCTCCTGCAGCTGGACAATAATATAATGGGGCTTAACCCTAACTTACTGCTCACCTGTTAAACTTTAGGGAATTTAGCAGCTCCCAGGTAACACAAGTCTCTGTATTTCCACTTTTACATTTGTTTTTACCTTAATACAGCAGCCTGTTACAGTCCTTGGCTGTATTGGAGCTGTGTGTTAAGGTAGTGCTAATGTAAACCAAACACTTCCTGCTGTTACTGCTTCACATTAAGGCTGCATTCAGACAAAATAAGGCGTTGCTGCAATTAGCCACAGTGTTGTGTGGTGTGGGTGTGTTTATTTGTGCTTAAGAATATAACCGCTGTGAAACAGTAAGAAAATAATGTTTTATGTGTCTCTGATTCATTGGCTTTCTTGCCACCGACACTCCCTCTCCATATTCGCTGTCTAGGTTGCTCAGCCAGTGCTGTGCGTATGCATCTCTCTGTCAGGGCAGGTTCACACCAGCCTTGTTAAGTCCAGTTGCACCGAACGCTGGAGCATATATGCTCATAGTGCGGTTCGTGTGAAAGCCAGACTCGAACTTGGTTATGGACCAAACAAGCTCTCTCTTGTAGAGCCCTGCACGGGCCTCAAATCTAGGCCCGAGCCCGGCCCTGGTCCGAGGCGCTCAGGCCCTAGCCCGACCTGTGTGCGACAGTTCATCAAAGTTACTAGCCCGAGCCTGTGTTTTTTTTGTTTGTTTGTTTGTTTTTTCTTTCTTTTCATTACACAGTGACAGCCTGCCCTACTGGCAGCCATTAAAATATGTCAGTTTTGTTAGTTATGTTTCATTTCTTTATTAAGTCAATTTAGACAAATGTTTGGAGCATTTTCTTTTTAATGACGACCAAACAGCCGAGCCGACAGCGAGTAAAACATGTTTGATCAATTTAGCCTCTCAAATCAACGCTAATCCTTTACTTAGCTACAAAACACTTCAAGTCTGTTCACACAGATAGTTATTTTAATAAATGTTTATTTATTAAACCACAGTGAGTAAAACAACATTTTTGAAATACTACAGTGAGGCAGGCAGGCTGCTCTCAACAGCGCTCCCAAACCAAATGAGCAATAGCCTACAATCTAAACAAATTAAATTAAATTAATTAAAAACAAACTTGCAGGTTATCTTACCTTATAATGCACCAAAGAACATGGCCATTCTTTTTTCCAGTAGTTTCCAACAGTTAAACGAAAATAAAGTCCAATCAAACGAAAAGTTAGAACAGTCTCTTACAGAGCATCATGGAGAAAAAGAACAGCATCCACAGTGGAAGGTTTTAAGCCCGTCCTTCTCTCTTCTATCACTCTTCCCGCTGGGCTTAAGACACGTTCGCTGCTGCTGCTGACGGGGACACTAAACACAGAGCGAGCCAGTCTTGACCGTTGCGGTAGCAGGGTCTCGTGCTGTTTCCACTAGAGCAGCACATCTCACCGAGAAACCTTCTGTGTGCGTGCGTGAGACTGTCATGTCAGTCATATGTCAGTGTAACTATAAGAGAGGTTAAAAACAGGTTATGAAATGTCTTTATATATTTGTTTTCTATCGTCGACGTCAACTTCTCATATTTTCTTTTAATTAATGTCTAAAAATATAAAAAGGATAACCCAAAAAAGGCCCGAGGCCCGGCCCGCATGTGAACTATGATGTGAAAAGTGGCCCGAAGCCCGGCCCCAGGGGTGTAAATAAGTCGGGGCCCGTCGGGCTCGAGCTGAAATGCAGGCTCTCTTGTCTGCCCCAAAGGGGCGTTCTCGGGCCACTGTCAAATGAACTCTGGAGCGTTTCATTTCTGGTGTGAACACCATTTAAACCAATTGCAGGAAGTATCTCAGTGTGTGATTTATATAGGACTTATTTATTATTACTGTACTATTAAATGTATTATTGTTTTATTATTATATAAATATTTATAATATTTCATATTATATATTTCAGGGTAATTTTTGTTATTTTGGTAAGTAGTGTTTGACAATTTGCCCTGGTGTTTGATACAAACAATCAAAATATTAAGAGGAAATGAAGATAAAAATAACTATATATAAATAAAATTTACTGTACAATAAAATGTGAAAAGGGTACTGTAAAAATGGTACTGTTTGCCAACAAATACGTACTATATGATATAGTAAGGTAATATTATTGATGAAAGGGCAGCACCTTTTGATATATTGAACTCTTTATGTATTTTGCATGTAGGGTCATTTATTCATTGAAGGAGCTACATGGATTCTGTAAACACAAGATGTTTTTTTTATCATTGGCCTTTACTAGCCCATTTGCATGGGCCAACTTCGTGATTTTTGCGTCTTTGCAATTGTGGCCCTCAGTGATCCACTTTGTATAGCAAACGCAAACAAGTCGTGGTCTGATCTTGTCAGAGTTGGAACATTGAAGCAATGTATCATCCATGCATAATTTTTGAATCAAACAGCAAAATGTGGACATTTTTAAGCACTTTGATGTATTTCAGAAAGGAATGATCATCTTGGACTCTGGTCTCGGTTGTTCATGGTGAAGGATGTGTAGGGAAATCCTGCATCAGAGCCTTCAGAAGGCCAGATGTCTGCATGAAATGTGAAGGCTTGTCGCACAAAGTAGTTTATGCTCCTATTAGACAGGAGTTATCAGGGTTTTTTCCCCCTCTGTCTCAATGCACGCAAAACAGTAGAATTAGCACAACATTAGCCTTCCCTTATTGATGTAAATGAGGTGGACAAAATAACGGAAACACTAGTCACTGTAACATAATACATTTAAACAGCACAACAAAATACAGTCTCCAAAATGACCATACAGTTGAATCAACACCACCAACATTTTGACCTTCATGAAGGTAGGACTTATTGACAGTTGAATTAGACTACACTTTTTAGTTTAGGTTTTAGGTAAGTGTACCTAATAAACTGGCAACTTGAGCCAGATTCAACTTTTTTTTTTTTACTGGACAACCCTCTGCGTCTCTTGTGGCTACGCTGTGAGATGCAAAATTTTCCCCCCAGTTGATGCACAAATCATCAGGTATGGTAGGTTATTAGTTTGTATTTTAAGGTTTTTATCCCCAAAAATGTGAAGGAAGTTCCTGTGGGATAACGACACTCTTGTGTACGAATCATGAGTGTATATAAAGATGGACGACATGACAGATCACTAAAAACGAAGAGAGTGAGTTTGGGCTTTTAGGGAGGGGAGAGAGTGCAGCGCTGTAAAGGAAAGGGGTCCGCTGGGTTTATAACACAAGACAAAACAAGAACATCTTGCGAAACGGAAGGCAGCACAATAATTGTTTTATTATCTTGTTTTCATAATCATTGAAAGCCAAAATTGTTGTTGAAAATGAATTTTTGATTAATTGCTCAGCCCTATGTTAAAGTGCTCGTTTTCCGGATAAGTTTGGTTTAAATTTAGTTATTGGATGCTATGGATTGGATGTTGACATTTTTATTAAATTTTTTTTGATAGGCATTCTTCATTATTTTATATATCTTATAAGCTAACAGAATAAATTAAATGATCGCTGATGGATAATTATAAAGTGATTGCTGCCCTAATAGAAGAGCAGTTATTAGTATGTCCTCTCAAGTAGCCTTGCATATAGTTCAAATGTATTACCCCCTGCTTTAGGCCTCAGGGGAGTACAGCATAGACAAAGACTTCCTCCTACAATCTTTTGCTGCATTGTCTTTCTGCTCCAGTGGGCAACAAAGGGTTAAGTGTGTGTGTGTGTGTGTGTGTGTGTGTGTGTTTCAGTTTATAAAACAACATAATGCTGCTGAGGGCAAACGTGTAATGCTGTCTGAGTGATGGGGGAGAGAAAAGGGAAAAAGTAGGTTACTGGTCCGTCTGCTCTACATGCTTTTGACATCGTTCTGTATCTTCAGCCTACACGCTTGTCCTTCTAGTGCTCTCTGATTCTAGGACCAATAAATCCAGAGTTACATGAACTGAGTGGTTTCTCATTGTCTTTACTGTTGGAGATGAGTCGTTTTATCTCTGTACAACCAACATAAAAATAACATCATTGCAGATGCAAGTTTTAAATGTGTGTCATGTATGTGTTTTTAATTATTTCTTTTGCAGCGGACATCATATCCACAGTTGAGTTTAACCACACAGGGGAGCTGCTGGCCACAGGAGACAAGGGTGGGCGTGTAGTCATTTTCCAGCAGGAAATAGAGGTACAGCTGCAAGTTTTATTCCCACACACTATCCATTTTAGAAAAGGTCAACCCCTGAAATCAGTTATTCTTAAGTTTTATGGACATGACAGTTTTATTTCTTTGTAAAAGTAGCTTCAATTTAAAAGATGGTTATATCTTTTTGGAATTAAACTTGATCGTCACTGTCTTATTCTTGTCTAATGTCTGCTCTTTTTCATCTGTCTGATATTTCAGAATAAGAATCAGCCTCAGTTCCGGAGCGAATACAATGTTTACAGCACTTTCCAGAGCCATGAGCCCGAGTTTGACTACTTGAAGAGTTTGGAAATAGAAGAGAAGATCAACAAAATTCGCTGGCTTCCTCAAAAGAACGCTGCGCAATTCTTGTTGTCAACTAACGGTAAGTTAGTAATTTTAATTGAGTGCATACCTATATATTTTTTAACAGCAATCTGTGGTGATTTTAATCTTAAATGCAAAAAGGTGACATTTAAACTTTTTTAACAGAGAAATTAATTATTTCCACTTTCCTACTTCAGTTACATGTGGACAAGAACTGGAATTCATATTTCAGAAAACGTAATGCAGCTCATCATCATTCATAATGCCAAAGGGCAATAAAATATTTTTAAAAACTGGAAAAAATTCATCACTGGATATTTAAAGTTATAAGACATAGGCAACCTAGTGTAAATAGTATTACACTAGGTTAGTCAAAGATTTCACATCCAGAAGAATTCCCTTTAACCAGTCCCCTTTTGTACCGCCACCTTTTTTTTGTTTGATTCCTCTGAAATGTAACCAAACTCCGATCAACATATCCGTTGATTGTTTGACCCTTTCTCTGAATGCTAAGAGTTTGCATTTGTCCTTTTGAAAAGAGTTGGTCATGGTGTTTTTTACATAATTGTTTTTATTTGACAGATAAGACAATCAAGTTGTGGAAAATCAGTGAACGAGACAGGAGACCAGAGGGTTATAATCTCAAAGAGGAGGATGGACGCTACAAAGACCCCAACAATATCACATCACTGCGGGTCAGTCATTGAATCAAACACAAGCAGGCAGACCAAACTGAAAATAATCTCTACATATTTATTTGATATTGGATATAGTGAGAGAGCAGTGTTGCCATGTTTAGTAGGTTTGGTAATGCAGACTGCTCAGATTACCTGCCCTGCAGTTATACTGATAGTTTGAAATGTACAAGTTGCCCTGGATATCCACACAGGCGTGTTCAGTTATTCTGGCTGATTGCACCTTTTTTTTATAAAAATTTTTTTACTTGTGTGAAACTCTGCTGGCAGTTTGCGGCATGCACTAAATTATATAATTGACAGAATTGTATAGGTGTAGGTTTTCCTGCCCTAACAAGCCTGACGAGACTAACAGACATCTAACAGGACAAGCTAAATGTTAGTGAAGTCTTTACATGCTAATACATTCCTGAGATGTCTGATCAGACAACTGCTAACAGTTGTGGGTGTAACATAGGTGTGTGTTTGGGGGAGGGGGGGTTAAGATGTTTACAATGTGCTGTACATAACATAAATAGTTGTGCCTCTAACTTGCAGTGTCGTCAAGGGCTACCGGTTAACTTCCTGTTAACAGCAAAGATAACAGCTTGCAACTTGTGCTACTACAGTTACTGTTTGAGCTCATATCAGACATGTACCTTCTGGGTGCATTGTCATCAAGGCATAAAGACGCAAAGGGGTCATGATTTACACTCGCATGTTTCTTAACCTTCTGGTTATAGTAAAAACATTTTAAATTTTAAGAGACTTCTCCCCCTGGGTCTTCTTCGGTATATATTTAGCAGTTCTTTACATTGATTGTGCACCCAGCTCACCCCACAAGATCCACTCACTGAGCTAATTGCGGCCATTAGTCTGGCACCATTAGTCTATGCTTTTGAGTTCACCAGACACGGCTGCAGCGCGTCCCAGAAGCAACTCTATGCTCCGCTCCGCAGAGAATAGGTAGCAAGTCTATTTTTGCCACAGGCCGTGTCAAGCAGCACAGAGCAGATCGAACCAGGCAGGAAGTCAGAGACAGTACGGCATAGATAATCCAGTCAATTTTCAAAATAAAACACCCTGTGGAGACTCCCGATGGTTTAAAAAAAAAAAAAAAAAAAAATGAACACGGTTAAAACGGACACACAAGGAAATCATTTAACTACGTAGCCTACTTAATCATAGCAGAGGCACAAAATGCAAACACTGATTACCAAATCAACAAAATCTAAACATGTCAGCAAAATCAGGCAGGCAAAACGCTCTGATTTTGGAATGCTCCTTGTGGGAAATGTGGTAAGCACAAAAAGGATAAATTTAATAAGTCAATAATGTGGAGCAGGCTGCACACTCTGCTGGTTAAACGCTTCGGAGTCCCTTCCAGTGGATTTTGATGCCGGGCTATGGACGCATCAAAACCGTGGCGTAGCCGTAATGTGCCGTAGGCGGAGTCAGTGGATTCTTGGCATCACTCAAGGATTAGTTACAACGCTGGACTAATGCAAGGTGGAGAGCAATGGATTGACATTGACTTTTGACTATAAAAAAGCTAATCAGCAGTGCAGACTGGGCAATATGGATACACATCTCAATAAATACTAACCATCATGTATTCAGACAAGTCATAGTATAAATAGTATTTTACATTTGGAAATGTATTAAAAACCTTACAGAGCCTGTTTGAATGTGCCTGACCGAGCTGATAACATTAACACCTAGCAAGTATAGTTATCTGTAATTTACAGGGGCTATGCTTAGGTTTGTCAGTAGAGTAGATGCTGGATCGTCAGCGAGTACAAGCACACACTAGAGACAAAAGCCTACAGACTGTGTACAGACGTCCCACAGTCCCAGGTGAAATACAAGCCTGTTCTATTCTCTTCTATAAATTATAGCTGTAAACATATTTCCATGTGTCATTCTTCACAATTCCTGTTAGTTCATGCAGTAAATGGCTTATTCAGGTGTTTAAAAAAACAAAAAGTGCCTAATCTTGGATCACAAATCCTATTGTTTTTTTTTGTACTTGCACAATCCCATCCCTGATATATACACTGCCCAAAAAAAAAAAAGGGAACACTTAAACAACACAATGGAACTCCAAGTCAATCACACTCCTGTGAAATCAAACTGTCCACTTGGGAAGCAACACTGGTTGACAATCAATTTCACATGCTGTGCAAATGGAATAGACAACAGCTGGAAATTATTGGCAATTAGCAAGACACCCCCAATAAAGGAGTGGTTCTGCAGGTGGTGACCACAGACCACTTCTCAGTTCCTATGCTTCCTGGCTGATGTTTTGGTCACTTTTGAATGCTGGCGGTGCTTTCACTCTAGTGGTAGCATGAGACGGAGTCTACAACCCACACAAGTGGCTCAGGTAGTGCAGCTCATCCAGGATGGCACATCAATGCGAGCTGTGGCAAGAAGGTTTGCTGTGTCTGTCGGCGTAGTGTCCAGAGCATGGAGGCGCTACCAGGAGACAGGCCAGTACATCAGGAGACATGGAGGAGGCCGTAGGAGGGCAACAACCCAGAAGCAGGACCGCTACCTCCGCCTTTGTGGAAGGAGGAGCAGGAGGAGCACTGCCAGAGCCCTGCAAAATGACCTCCAGCAGGCCACAGACAGACTCCATGAGGGTGGTATGGGGGCCCGACGTCCACAGGTGGGGGTTGTGCTTACAGCCCAACACCGTGCAGGACGTTTGGCATTTGCCAGAGAACACCAAGATTGGCAAATTCGCCACTGGCGCCCTGTGCTCTTCACAGATGAAAGCAGGTTCACACTGAGCACATGTGACAGACGTGACAGAGTCTGGAGACGCCGTGGAGAACGTTCTGCTGCCTGCAACATCCTCCAGCATGACCGGTTTGGCGGTGGGTCAGTAATGGTGTGGGGTGGCATTTCTTGGGGGGCCGCACAGCCCTCCATGTGCTCGCCAGAGGTAGCCTGACTGCCATTAGGTACCGAGATGAGATCCTCAGACCCCCTGTGAGACCATATGCTGGTGCGGTTGGCCCTGGGTTCCTCCTAATGCAAGACAATGCTAGACCTCATGTGGCTGGAGTGTGTCAGCAGTTCCTGCAAGAGGAAGGCATTGATGCTATGGACTGACCCGCCCGTTCCCCAGACCTGAATCCAATTGAGCACATCTGGGACATCATGTCTCGCTCCATCCACCAACGCCACGTTGCACCACAGACTGTCCAGGAGTTGGCGGATGCTTTAGTCCAGGTCTGGGAGCAGATCCCTCAGGAGACCATCCACCACCTCATCAGGAGCATGCCCAGGCGTTGTAGGGAGGTCATACAGGCACGTAGAGGCCACACACGCTACTGAGCCTCATTTTGACTTGTTTTAAGGACATCACATCAAAGTTGGATCGGCCTGTAGTGTGGTTTTCCACTTTGATTTTGAGTGTGACTCCAAATCCAGACCTCCATTGGTTGATAAATTTGATTTCCATTGATAATTTTTGTGATTTTTGTTGTCCGCACATTCAGCTATGTAAAGAAAAAAAGGAGTATTTAATGAGATTATTTCACTCATTCAAATCTAGGATGTGTTATTTTAGTGTTCCCTTTATTTTTTTGAGCAGTGTAGAATACTGCATGACACTGGCTAGATGTTCTGGTTATGCAAGGCTATGAAGAGCTTTGTGAATTGACAGAAATGTGCCACAAGGAGATATCAGAGCTACAAAATGGATTCCTGCCTACTTTATTATAAGTTTCAACTTAGTTCCTGTTTGTTCTTAATCTCATTTGTTCTTATCTCAGGTACCAGTTTTAATACCAATGGACCTCATGGTGGAAGCCAGCCCACGGAGGGTGTTCGCCAACGCTCACACCTACCACATCAACTCTATCTCAGTCAACAGTGACAATGAGACTTACCTGTCTGCAGACGACCTCCGCATCAACCTCTGGCACCTCGAGATCACTGACCGCAGCTTCAGTATCCTTAAATTCATATGGGTGTTTTTTGCACACCTGTCTAGTCCATGAAACTCATATCTGAATATGAGATTATCGAATAGCAGACTGATGTTCATCAATGTCATGTGTTCTGTCAATTTCATCGATATGGCCCAATAACAAATGTGCCTCAGAGGACTTTACAATCTGTACAGCACACGACAAACTCTGTCTTTAGACCGTTGTCAGGGAAGGAAAAATTCCCACGTGATGGTCCAGCAGGGAAGCCTGAGTGAAAATGGAGGACAAGGAGGAAAAACGAGAGAGAATGAGAGAGGCATACAGCTGTGCTTGTGGGACACAAACGGAGAGAGATATTCAGAGGTTTTCAGAAAATGTACAGGATTCTCATTGACAGGACAAACATGGACTATAGTACTAGACTTAATATATTCATTGAGAGTGACCTGATGGAAGAAGAATGGTGTAATAGGTTGATTTTTCTACTTTTCCTAAGTTAAGATTTGTGCTGCAGAACCATCCAGCCATTTTAATACTAGCATGGCCTGACAACAAAACATTAATAATCAAGTCTGGATGAAACAAAAGGGTGAATTTGGGTTTCTGCATCAGCCCTAGACAGAAAAGACCTAATTTGAGCTATTCTAAAAAAGATTCTGACGGGCTTGTGTCTGTCAGGGCATCTCAGTTACCACTGATTGGCTTTCATGTCTAACTATTGAATAGGCTGAAAACACTGATTGTCATCCTCACTGGTCCATTATCGGTCTGTTTTTTTTCCTGTTGCGAATGCTCTATTCAGGGTACATTATCACTCAGTTTGGCACTTGCCAAAGGAAATTGCTGCAATTTGAGTTATGATTTAGGAAATGTTTTTGTGCTGCAAAAATGCATAAATCAGGCGAGTCAATGCCCTAATCGCTCAAAAGGTTTATTCCTCTTAACCCTGTGCGCTTCAGATATTGTTGACATTAAACCAGCCAACATGGAGGAGCTAACGGAGGTGATCACAGCAGCAGAGTTTCATCCTCATCAGTGTAACACCTTCGTCTACAGCAGCAGCAAAGGAACCATCCGTCTGTGTGACATGAGGGTTTCAGCGCTGTGTGACAAGCACTCAAAATGTGAGTACCTGCTTTAGAAGGATATTTCTTGTAAGTTATTTCTTATTTCACCATTTTAATTCTACTTCACTCTCCACTTTATTGCAGTGTTTGTGTTTACTCACTGCTTGAATCTGCTCCCCTTGCTTGTCTCTTCAGTTCTCTTTGGCACACACACACACACACACACACACACACACACACCTTCTCCATCAGAGGTATGACTTTATAAAGTTGCCAAAAAGACACAGAACTCGTCTTTTTAGATTTTTCTCCATCTGCAGATCCGCATGTGGAGGAGGTTTGTTAATGACGTAGCCTGTTGAAATGATCAAAACCATTGTGGTACCGAATGACATCTGCACTGATGGGTTCACTGTTCCTTTGCCTGGTCCGTGCTTGTAAAATATCCACCGTGCCTCTTGAAATGTAATACCAGATAACATCTGTGGTTTCTCTGCAAAATGCTAAAATGGGTCACTCAATGTACTATACTCAAGTAAAGTCAGTATGTGGGGAAACACTGAATATGAAACACATTCTAGTATAAAAGGGGGCAGATGGTAGCTGTGATAACATTAACCTAGACCACTTGTCCCCACGGTGCTTGTCCCCACGGTGCCTTGAGGATTGGGCAAAGGTGCTGCAAGATTTATTATCAATTCACATTTGTTTTATGGTTTTAATAAAGTGTCATCAGCCCTCAACTCAGTCTCTGACAACTGAATCTGAGCCAACCAAAAAAACTGAAATAAGTATTTCTATTTGTCCTTGTACACCTTAAAGAAAAGCTAATTGTGAAGAAATTTAAAATATTAGGTTTATTGTCTTAAAGTAAATATTTGTCAACCTGCAGAGCACCTGTTTGCTTTTTTTTTCTGAGTGACTTAATATTGATGTATAATATGATGCATTGTTCAAGCCAGTACACATCTGTGTACATGCATACAAGTATATGCATGTTATATTTGGGATTGGTTGGCTTGTGGTGCCATGGCAAATCCTATGAAAAGGTGCTGTGTTCTTAAAAAATGAACCACTGAACCAGCCTACACATGGTGAGACGGGGTGTGTGTGTGTGTCCGTCCCAGACAATTAATGAGCAGCACATGTTAAACCTCCTTCATTATGGATATTTGTAATGTCAGCATGTTTCCTCAAAATATACTAGACACTAGGGCTCCTAGATTATGGTAAAATATTACTGAGATCGCGAATATTTAACACAATTACTCACTGGACTTAGGACACATCATAGCCCATGAAATAATCAAGAGTTATTAGACTTTATTAACTTTTAAACCGCATCTTGGAGTGTAAGAGGATGACAGCAAACTGCGTTTGCCCAGGTAGAGTGCTTTGGGTGACAGATGGTCCACAGAGGGGGCTCTGTGTGAGTGTGGGCTTAGCAGGTGAACTACTACTAACTTGTTACGTTATTCAACGGGGTGTTCTGTCGGGACATGCAGTGATCATTAAATCAATTGTGAGTAAGTAAGAAAGGTATAAATGAGTATAAATAATAGTTAATTTATTAAACTAGGAGTAGAGGAAATGTCCGCTAGGATAATTTATGCAATTTATGATGCCATAGGATTGAGTTAACAATGGTGACTTGTAGTCATAGCAGTAATAACCTCCAGTCATCTCGGCTCAAGCTGAAATGAACATGCCACAGCCTGTCTGAGAGGTTGAGTTTGGGCCTTTAGGGAGGGGCTAAAGTGCACCACTGTAAAGGAAAGGGGTGCACTAGATTTATAACAACATAGACCGAGAGCATTGTTGAGAATCGAACGCGGTGCAATAATCATTTTATTTCGATTATCGTGCATGCATATATTTTCAAGCATGCAAGGTTACTGGGGAAAAAAGCCTACTGGATGAGCTTTACTCATAATGCGCTGTCAATAAAGGATTAAGTAAATATTTATCAGTCACACAGGTTTGTGAAATACTCTACACACCTGTTTTGGATCTTTTAGTGAGTAATTGTTTAATGCATTTTGTATTAAAAGCCATCAGTTTGCATCTCTGTCAGCTCTCACTAAGTAACACACAAGTGCCCCAGTACCTCACCAGGTAGAGCATGTACCATGTATCAAGGCAGAGTCCTTACCGAATGGCCCTTGTGGACCCTTCACTGCATGTCATCCTCTGCTGTGCCGTTCTCTTTCTACTGTGATTATCAAATAAAGCATGTATGATAAAATAATAACAAAAAATGTCTCATGTTAATAACAAGCTCTTAGTCTTTCACATTTCCCTAATGTTACTTAGAACCCTGTCTGTACTGCAGTCAGACTATATTTCATCTGAATAATGTCTGTATCATCTTCCTTTCTCTTGCCCAGTGTTTGAGGAGCCAGAAGATCCCAGTAATCGCTCCTTCTTCTCTGAGATCATATCCTCAATCTCAGATGTTAAGTTTAGCCACAATGGACGCTACATGATGACCAGAGACTACTTGTCTGTGAAGATTTGGGATCTGAACATGGAGAACAGGCCAGTGGAGACCCATCAGGTGAGACTAACAAACTCACGCACAGTAACAGTGTGTGTGTCAGGTTTTGTTACACAGGTGTATACAAGTTATGAGTGACTTATCGTTGAATTAACTCGTTGCTACAGACAATTGAACCTAAACCAAATTTACTACTACTTTAAATTCATGTGGGCTTGCAGGTTAAATTACACTAAAGTAGTATTTATTTCATTGCTTTAAACACAAAATTCAACTAAAGAAAAAAATGCATGGACTTTTTGAAGCAGAGTGGCCACACCTTTTTTGAATCATTCCTTGTAATTTCACATAGTGGCCACTAGGAGGCACCATAAATATGTGGCTTTGCTGTGCACTGGCTTTTGTATAGACAGAGGTTTGTTCCATTGATGATAATGGAGATATGCTGAGCATATAGGTGGCTCATGTGGCCAGTCTGAATACTGACGTAAACACACACCTGCAGCGGTCATAATGATCTTTCACAGTGGCTGCGTCATTCAGCTCCTTCACACCTGCCTCCTGATCTTTGCAGGTTCATGAGTACCTGAGGAGCAAGCTGTGCTCGCTCTATGAGAATGACTGCATCTTCGACAAGTTTGAATGCTGCTGGAATGGCAATGACAGGTGAGGGCATGCAGGGGGCACATAATAAAATAGCACTGTCTGGATTCTGCTTGTCTGTGTTTAGAATATGATATCATGATTTTCAAGATTGATACCTTGACATGATTTGACCTCCTTAGCTCTGTTAGTCCTGTAATGTAATTATATAAAACGTATGGTCATTTAAAATGTTTCAAATTCAGTTTAATATCAGTTGTATACCAATGGTGTATTTACTTTATGCCTACTGTGCAAATTGTCACTTAAAAACACATCTTTTAATTACATTAACAACATTATTCCAAGAGTACTTGCGTGAAAGGCTCTCACACCTTTCTCATACCCCCCCCCCCCCTTTCAGTGTGGTGATGACTGGCTCATACAACAACTTCTTCCGGATGTTCGACCGCGGCCAAAGGCGTGATGTAACTTTGGAGGCGTCCCGAGAAAACAGCAAGCCCATGCAGGCCCTAAAACCCCGCAAAGTGTGCGCAGGCGGCAAGCGCAAGAAGGACGAAATCAGCGTGGACAGTTTGGACTTCAACAAGAAGATCCTTCACACTGCCTGGCATCCCCAGGACAACATCATTGCAGTGGCGACGACCAACAACCTCTACATATTCCAGGATAAAGTGAATTAACTATTGGGTGAGCATATGTCAAAGTTGGCATGGGTGACGTCCTGTGAACCACGTGCAGCCTCTCAGCCTCATCCAGAGTGTTCTGTGGTAACGCCGACAACCAGCATCCCTGTCCGTCGCTACTGGGTGACCAGACTTTGCCACTTTGTTCTAGATGTGGACAGAGGAAGCCTCGCTCTTGCCCATCATCAGCCTGTCAGTGGCAGAGTTACACCCGCCTTGTTGTTTAAGTGATGTTGTGCCAATTGTTTTGTTATTTTTTTTTCCCCTGTTTTTTTTATGTTTTGTTTGGGGGAGGGGCAGATCACCTGCCTTTTTCTTCCCCTTGGGTATCATGGGTAGGTAAACCAGTATAATTTCCTTAAAATTCTGAACACAGACACACTTATTTTTATAACTTTCCCCCAATGGCTCTGTGGTAGAAAATGAAACACTTATTTAGTACGTCCCCTTATTGTCCTGTGCCATCGTAGTGTTTATTTTTCTAAGAAAAATTGCCAGATTTTTTTTGTGTATACACCTTTTATTCATCTGTGATACTGTCATAGTATTCTATGCGTCTCTTAAAATGTCTCCCCTCTTTCATTAAACCATGCATACTTAACAGTCACAAATGTATGGTCACAGTTTTCTTGTACTTGCTGCTCACACTGGAGAGCAACACTTCAGCGGTTGTGTTTCCACAGATTGAAATCTGTGAGGAGTTGAGGAGGAGTTTCCACTCACTGTTGACCTGCCTCAGGCTCTGGATGGCCAAATGGGTTCAGACTCCAGACTACTTTCTTTTTTTTTTTGTGGATTGGCTCTTTGTGTCGACATCTGTGCATTGGTTCCTCTATTTCTTTTGTTTGTGTTTAACAATAGTCAGGTATAAGAGATAGCCTATTCAAAGATAATTATTATGATTGTCATATTTATATTAAAAAAGTTAAAATGTCACTAGATTTGTTCCGTCCTGTTTTGTGAAATGAAGCCGGACCTTTCACCCATCTTTTTGAGTGATCAGAAATATTGTCTTCTCCTGGTGTACCACAGCTCTGAAACAGTACTTCACAACAGGGGAAACCTTTGATTTGACACTGGACTCACTTACTGCACCAACTAAAGTACTTGGATGTGTTTATAAGACTGGAGTTTTCAAAGAAAACATTATTTGAGTAAGTCACTTAAAGTGTTTAAACTACTGCAGACATTATTACTGCAACTGTATGTGATGGTACAATAAGCTGCATAAGGATGTGCGGCAGTTGATGTTTCCACACGCGTATTTAAAATGTGGACAGTTCAGATTATATTGATGCCTCTAGCAATGTATAACTACAATTTTAATCTATGACAGTGAAGATAATAAAGGAACTACTTTTTGCATCCTTGTGATTGCCTGATCGTTGATGGGATGTCATCAGCACTAAGCTCTAATTTTACACAATCTGTCATCTGTGTTGTTGCCTCATGTAGCATAATCCTCAAGGTTGTACATCAATTGTAAGCCATCCTAGATCCATGTTTACTCGATAAACAAACACGGGACCAGGTGACTTCACTGATTAGAACACCGTCAGCTGGAGAGGAGGCATACCTTCTCCATTTGGGTTTCTGCTGTTTTTTTGTTAAAATCATAAACAGCTGCGAGCACCTGGCATTAAAGCTGATGTGACTGATGGACGTAATGAAAACCAGCCGCTCTCTGGCACTTAATGAACCACTGTCGGTTTACTGAAATAAGCTGATGTGGTGTCTGGTTGCTGAGAACTAGAGTTGGGTACACGTCTGCCTCGTTTCTTGACTGGCATGTGCTGTGTACGTGTGTGCACGCACGCCTCATCCCACATGGGCAAATTGAGATAGCAACCAATCACCAGATGGCGTATTGTTTGAACTTATACTGTTGACCGATAATCCACGCTAATAGTCCATACATACCCTACCCTGTACGGGTGTTTTTCTGCTCGTTATGTAATTCTACTTCCTCTCTCTCTTTTGTTGTCAACCGGACAACCTGACGTCATCACCAGCACCGAGGGGGGTGTGAGTGAGCAGCTCGCGGCGGCTGCTGCTTCAAGACCAGCAAAACGGACGAGAAACAAACCGCAGCGGTGCTTTAGCTTAGCTTGCCGCTCTCTGAAAAACAGGGCAGGTCTGAATGTGTGAAGTTAAGGTAGTGCGCCTTCTGCACTGACTTGAGCCTTTTAAGAAACCCGTCCTGCTCACCAGGCACAACCATGTCCGACGCTGCTAACACTACAGAAAACAACGGAGACTCTGGGCTAAACGGTAAGCTAAATGTGACCAAATTGCTGGACTGGAACAGCTTGTCAGTGTGTTGTTTGTCTGGGGAACGTGTCGGGGGAAGCGGCTGTATGCTTATAACAAGTTTATAGGTGGTTATAAAGTTTATTCTGCCCTATCTTTTTTCCGCCGTGAAGCTACATTGAAGGTAAAGAAAGGGACGTTATGTTCCGTATGTTTATTGACAGTGGTTTAACCAATGGCGCTTCGACAGGCTTGAGTGATAGGCAAGTGAGCCAATCAGCGTTTCACGCGGAGGGGCGGGTTTAAGCTTTGTCAACAAGGCGAGATGGAAGAAGTCAGAGCTGGAAAAATGGGGCTGGAGAAATTTGTTGTAGTTGCTGTTCTTTACAGACAGTTAAGTCTTTCTAAAGAACTGAAATCAGTGTAAAATTTTAACGTTTGTAATCTTCATCCTTTTTATTAATTATATTTTCAGATTTCAGTCTGTGTAAGTAGGCTACCAGTTTCATAAAAAAAACATCTCTTTCAAATAATTAAAATTCTAACTCAGTCAGCATTTGACACAGCATTTTCCCACCGTGTGTTCACTCTATCATTTCATGTGTGTGGAAATGTTTCACCTGAGCATTCAGTTGTTGAAATTGGAGGGTACGTTAGACCTCGGCTTTGCGGATGGCGTTAGCGACGTAAACAAAGGTATGTTTATTACATGCAGCACTGACTCAGGGGCCTTCTTCTGTACGCTGTGGTTTAATTTTTTCCACACTATGGGGGGGCCGTGACTTGGCATGCTATTTATGGCCACAGACGTTTTAGGGGCGAGGAAGGTGGGGAAAGTGTGGGGACAGCACACAGCAGTGTAGGAACATGGAGGCTGGCCGAAACAAAGCCACATCTGGGCAGGACTCAAACTTTCCTTCACTTTTCTTATTTTAAGAGACACACAATTCTTTAATAGTCTCGTATATCTAGTGATTGATAGGTACCTTTTTAAAAATAACCTGTGGGGTAAGCAAGTTGCCAGCATTTGGTTGGCCATTTAACAGGATGCCAGGTTAAATCTTTCTCCTGTTATAGGTGATGGAAAGCAACAAATGTTGCTTTTATTAGAGACAGTGTGTCACTATATGTTCACGTTTGGTAGTTCTTAGAACAGTCCAACTTTTTGAATTACTTTCTTAAACATTTAATAAGGATTCAATATTTTATTTAGTCTGGATCTCCCCATAATCCCTACCACAACATTAACACAGAACCATTTTTAATTAACTTACTCATTTGCATTTGGCGGATAAACGTAGTGGTCATAATTACATCAGACAGAGCCAGAATAACTTATGAAGTTTAAAATTCACAGCACATTGTAGTGGTGGCGTTGGTGCACCAGGATATATTACAGGGTTCCTTCAAAGTCCGAAAGAGGCCCAGTCTGTCCCAAGTTATAGCCTGGTCACAGCCAGTGCGCTGCTCATCAGCATCGGAGGCTGCGGGGGAGGAGGGAGGATCTCTGGTGTTGTCAGAGAATTACTAAGCTTGTCTATTAGACACAAGAGGCGTCACTTAGTTATACTGTCATTGGCCAACTTTTGAATTGAACCTCAAACTGTTTGCATACTGGGATATAGAAAGATGGACTCCTAGGAGATTTGAACTGGGATAAGGACTCATTAATTGGTGGTTGAACTTTGGGTTTTGTATTGAGCGCTTACTGTATAACACACTGTGGTGAGTTAGTTTTTCTTGTGGTCTGTAGGTAGGCAGACCTGATGCTATTATATCTGCCATGATTTGACTCTCAAATTATCTTTCTAATATTATTAAAATTTGATATTTCTTCTCCACCATTGCTCATAATAATTCATGCAATTCATAAATCACCTAATTTCAACATAACACAGGCCTGACCTACAAGAACAGTGTATGTTTAATCTATCCAATATTGTGTTGGTCATGCTATACACTGATTTACTGCTTGTCTGTTCTGAATACAGAAGTTAAAGAACTTAAAAATGAATCGCATATTAAATTGCAATGTTGGTAAAAAAAATATCACAATTAGATTATTTTCCAAAATCCAGCCCTACTGGATATGTATGGAATAAAAAAACATATTAGTGTTTCCAGACTATTGCCCCTATTCTGTTTTTTTTTTTAAATATAAAATTCAGAATTTCTTAAAGTAAAATAATCCTACAAGCAGTCGAGTGTTTTTCATGGTGTTTGGAGCAGGGAGTCAATGCTGCCAATTTGTTTACCACTGTGTGAGCGTGCCGCAGTGAGCTTGATGTATGGTGTGCAACTGAACGCACAGCTACATTATTATTATTATTACTATTATTATTTTTTTGGTGCCATGGCCAAGTTCAGCCACGACAAAACGTAGCAAAACGTTTATTTCAACTGAATTGATGGTGCCTGGAACACCCTGTCGCTGCCGATTGGGTAACGCCTCTGACATCCACCAAACAAGAGAAAACATACATCAAAGCCTATTGCGCACCTTTGCTCACAACCTTCTTGCTGTGAGGCGACAGTGCTAACCAGTGCACCACCGCGCCGCCCGCAAACAAAATCATTTAAATAAATCCAATATAAATATAATATAGGTATTTAGCTGCTATTAAGCAGAAATGAGGATAAACTATGAATTGTGTTAGCCTAACTGCAAAAAAATATTTATACATAAATGATACTTGTGAACATCAAATGTAGTTTTTATAATGTGAATAATTGAATAAATAGCAAACTTCACATCATGCAATCATTAAATCTTTGAACACGTGCATTTAACATAAGCTTACTTTAGTTTTTAGTGTCACGTGCCAGCCTGTGAACCATTTTTGGAAGTTCAACTTCCTTCATGTTTTGCAGCGGCCGTTTATTTAAAAGGACAGTGGCGGTACCTCAAACTCTGTTGTGTACGCAAGTGCACTGCACTTCACTGCCTTTTTAATATGGCCGTGTTACATACAAGTCACTGCTGATTGGGTAAACCCTCTGACACCACCACCAAACAAGGAAAAACATACCTCAAAGCACTATTTCGAGGAAACATGTTTTACCCGGAAATGGTAGCAAAACGGTGCTCACCGTTTTCAGATTGAACATGCCCCTAGTGGGGGGGAAATAGTACGGTAGCACCAGTTAGTTTACTTCCTCTCTGGACAGAAATGTTTGACAGTGGAACTGCCCAACCTTCTGTGTGGGAGTGTGGATTGAACGGCCACAAAATTGATTGAATGAGTTACGGTATCTAACTACACCGTTCTGTCTATTATTTTGCATCATAATAGCATAAAAAGTCAGAATTAGATTTTAAAACCATTTATTTACATTGCAAACATCTAGCTATTTGTGCTCAAATGCCAAATATAGTCTGAAGTCTTGAAATTTGAGTCTGGAAAAGTATGGAGTTTTGAAATGGAAAATGACTTCTGTTACAGTACGTGTACTTTCACAGTCTAATATGAGGGTATGAGTACATGCTGAGACATAGCTTTAGGGACAATAAGACCTTGCACTGGGCCAGCAGTGTGCCCTGTTATCTGAGACTGTGTTATTTTTGGCGTTTCCTGGAGCTCTCACGCCAGTGTTGTAAACATTTTTATCTAATACCTGTGGTCTTAAGTCAAGAGGAAGTCTCAGCCCTCCTCCCTCCCGTCTGAACCTCAGCATTAGTAGATCAAAGATGTCACCCCATGTCTACTTCCTCTAAATCCACCCAACAGCTGATAACTGCTCTGTGGCCAGAATGTTCGGGAGAGTCAGCGCCATGGCACTGTGGTTTTAGTCCACGGAGCGGAGACAATGGGCTGTCAACACCAGCTTGGCTCGCCGTCCGCCGTGTAATCTGCAGGATGAGTGTGAGTGCTGAGTCTAGCCCTGTGTAGTGGGGGAGGGGTGCATCGTTTGGGTAGGGGGGTATAACTGGCCTGAATCCTGAACTTAGAAATTTTATTCCCTGGAAGCTCATGTGAACATGTTTACTTATCATTATGGGGTCATCTGACTTGCTCAGAATGGCTTCCTCTTTTTTATTTTTTTATTTTAAGTACAGAAGGAGAAAGTGCTTTCATAGCTGCATGACAAGGGGTATTGGAGCCCCCCTACCCCCATTATTTTAATTATTGCCCTAGATAACCAGCCCCTTCCATGTATTTGTAACTCAGCTCTGACACGCTGTACCCCCCTCAGCTGTCAGTCCATGGCAAAGCTCTCGTACACGCAGGGAGAGTGCCATATATCACAGTCAAGGTCTACATGATACCATAGCACATACACAGGCATTTACTGCCCTTTCATCACACAGTAGTAAATAGAGTTTTACTCTTGAACTTGTTTGACTGACAGGCTCAGTCGTTCGATCTTGGAACACCCTGTACTAGTCAAAGAGAAGTAGATAATTGACATATAGCATAGCAGGATGGTTGCAAACCTGCCAAGCTTGCTCAGCTGGGCATTAAAATTGTAAAGAGGCACCGTTAATCTGATAAGTTACACCTGTGCTTGTCCTGCTGTGAAAAAGGTCAACTAAAACTTTCTCCCAGAGCCCAAACCGTACTGGCAGCCCGATCCCTATCTGCACATGCGCAGAAGTGGTCCTGTCAGTCAAAGAGGGTTACCACAAATGTGTCTGTTCACAATTACTCGTGTGTCTGTGGTCTGTTCTCATCTCAGGGCGTCAAATACCGATGCTTTCAGAAAGGATGCAGAAGTTACCCTTCAGCGTCTGTATGAGATGCCCTCGTGCGCCCCTGTATGAGTCGCACTGCCTAGACTGGAAGCACTAGTAGCTAGCTAAGAAGCTAGCTATGTTAGTGTAAAAGGCACTGACAGCTCCCCAAAGCCCCTTACCCTATCACAGAGGTGTGTGCCTAAACCTAAGTCAGCGATTGCATGCATGTTGACTGGCTAACCATAGCAGCTAACACATCGGTCGCCAGGCTCCTTTGAATAGGTAGGCAGCACATTGTCTCCTGCTATAGGCACAAACAGGTTGTTAGACCTATTTGGGGAATGTTACCAAAGGTTGGTAATATGCATTATAGACACAGTTCATTATCATCAAGGACACAGTTAAATGACGCCACTCATTTGCACACTAATGGATTTTATTGGCAAAAATAAGCAAAAGGCCTGCTGCTTGGGTCATGTCAGATCTTGCACTAAGCAGGATATTGGCGTATTAGTTTACTGACATGACTTTACACTGGCTGGTCTTATCAGGCGATCCTGCCACTTGTATTCGTACATATGGAGAAACTCTTTAAAAAGCAGTGCAAAATGCAGTGATGTCTAATATTTATGTTGACGTACTTATGCTGGCCAGCTCGTTTACATAAATTCAAGTGAAGCGCTACTTTGTAGAATAGTTGGCTGCCGTGCCAAATACTTAAGAGTTTGTGTCAGTACCTAAGTTATACCTTAATATCATCTGATAATTGTTCTCTATCACAATAAAGTGGGGTTTTCTTTGTGTGTGATTTGCTGTTTTTTATCCAAAGTGCCTAGCAGGTTTTACAGCTTAATATTATACTAATTTAAAATCCAGGTGGAAATAGAATTTTTAAACCACTTGGAATATAAGCATCGCTGACAGGTGAGTGAAGGAAAGTTGCATGATGGTCTGTTTCTTTCCACAGGGTCCTGGGTGGAGTTGGAGATGAACCGAGGCACAGTCGCATCAGTCCAGTTGTCCTCCACAGACGGCCCGGCCCCAGGCCTGCTGCCCCTCCCTCAGGTGGAGGAAGAGGAAGCAGAAGCCATGGTTGGGGGGCTGGAGCACGTTCCGTCATCATCCTCGATCCACAACGGAGACATGGAGAAGATCCTGCTGGACGCCCAGCACGAATCAAGCCGCAGCAACTCCTCCTGTGACAGGTATTGTTAAGTTTTACCAAGCTGGAACCTCCATGGCCAGCGGGGGGCTCTGATCGCAATAATCAGTCCGATTGCATTGGACTTAATGGTAAAATTGACCTAACTTCTCACTTGATTTATAACCTCAGTAAACACTTTCCTTTTATGGTTTGAGTCTTTAGTTTCACGTTTCTTCAAAGCTTATGAGTCAGCTGTTTTTCCAGTAAGTACATTTTGCTTTAAGCTTGTTTTTTGCTAGCCAGAATTAGCATCTATCACAGATGCTAACCAAGCTCTTTTTTTTTTTTAAGAAACTTTATTATAAATTACAAAAATAGTCAGATGCATACAAAAACACAGAGTAAAGTCAGAGAGCCAATACATTTCCCATATCACAAATATATATGCTTAAAAGAAATCTGCATAATCACAATAAAGATTTTCATTTATCCTTATCAGATAGCTAACAGTGTGTGTGTGGGGGGGGGGGATAACCAAATAAAAAAAAAAAAATTATATTTCAGAATAGAAAATAAAAGAATACATGTAAGAAATATCCCGCTACGGGATACAAAAAGGGTAAACTCGCCATACACTAACAATACATAAAGGATAAATTAATCGCTATAATATCAGGGATATCAATCCTGCCCTGCTGAAGGGTCCTTGTGAAGACGAACGCTGCGGTTGAAAAGTCTTTATTGCTTAGGAAGGTTCCTAACTGAGTGAAGTGAACTGGAAGCATTTAAATGGCATTCATCATAAGAGCTGGTCACCTTTTGCAAAGGGTACACTGGACCATCCATTACGAAAGAAAAGGAGATTTCTCTCTTATGCCATATCTTGCTAATATGCATTGGCCCTATGTCTTGAACTGTCAACAATAACTGAGACCCATGCGAGCTATGTTACTAGTCTTGTAAAATGATCTAAGTGAGGATAATGTTGCAGCGTGTAGACACCCTTAATGCCTTTAGAAACTGCTATATTCAAGCTGGATAACCTCTTCAGTAAATATAATGTATTATTTCAGTGTTTGATTTATTTGTGGCGGCCTACCACATTATCAACATCGACAGCCACATAGTGATTTTTTTTTGTGTTTTACTAATTGAAATGGGGAAAATTGTATGTGAAGACAACGCATATATTTGCTCAGTACCTCTTTCTCCTTCACATCTTTCCTTTAAAAAGTGGTTAGGAAAGGAGATTTTTTTTTTTTTTTTGACTTTTCGACCGCACACACTGGTCTGTGTGTGCTGTTTTGTTTGTTTTTCTGACCTCCCTGTAGTTAAACCTTTTATTGGGGATTTTTCACCATATGTACACTTGTCTTTCTTTACCTCTGAAAGGTTTTGGTCAAAAGGCTGTTATATACTTCCTAATCTCCTTAACATTTCCTACACAAGAGGGCACAGGAATGTCCGCCATGACTGAAAAGTTAAAAGAAAGTCACGAGTTCTTGGGTTCAAACAAGACTATGTTTATAGTTGTTGCATATTTAGACCACGTGGTCAACTTGGTTCCTGTCTAATGCTTCTCCTGACCTAGAGCACCCTGCTTCAGAAGTTGCATTTGATTTTTAAAGCCAAAATAGTGTCACTTCTGTCCTTGGTTTAGTTGTTGTACTAACGTAACGTTACACGTTATTTTTCTTTTACCTGGTGACTGTTCCATCAAGGTAGATAAAGTAAACTCCTGACTTATTTTGATGCTTCATAGCAGGCAACTGTCAAGCTTAATTTAACTTTGGCTCAAAGAATTTCCAGTGGACGGAAACAGAATCCCAAAAGACCAGTCTCTTTTCACACTCGCGTCACTTATGTCGTGTTTGGAAACACAAGTTCTGACCTTTTTCTCACAATGTGAACAAGCATGAATTTACGTGTTCAAAGACCATATTAATAAAAAATAAGTTATGAAAATCATGAGTGAGCACAGTTTATTTGAAAGCTTAGCGTGTATAAGTTGCGTTGAAGATATTTATTATTTCACTAACTTTCAATGCCGATGAGCTTGTACATGTACTAAATTACATCCTGTGAAAGAGAATGTGTCAAAGGCTAACTGATTATGAAGAGTTACTTCATTCCTTTCTGACACATTTCTTGTTCTAGTCACGTCCTGCCAGTTGGATGGTCATACATAATTTGTAGAATGTCCAAAACATTTCACATTTGTCTTACTCTTACCTCTGGCATTTGTCACTGCAGACATAGGGTGCTTCTCAAGTCTCCTAATTGCATCCACGTTTCCCTCACTTGCGTCTTTTCCTAAAAACTAAGCATGAGACATGAGACGTCCTTTCCTGCAAAGCATCACATGAAGCGACGTCCGTTTCTGATGATTGCAGCACATGATCACAGCTGGATCAGCTGTCAGTCGGCTCTAACAGCTGTAGAGACTTTTCATGGAGTTTGTGTACTGTACATGTGCACGGTGTTGGTACTAATAAAGTCTCTCAGTTATCAGTGCAGAAAGGCATGATTCTCTTTGCATCATTTCTACTGGCACAATGCTGATATTATCTGCATTTATATTTATTAATTCTGATTGTGAATTTGTTATTGAATAACCCAGAATATGATCATGGTGTATTGGGATTTATTAGGCTAAATGTTTCAGGGAAATTGAAATGATGTTACTCATATCAAAGTGGATGCACAGTTTTAGGCTTTCCGTTTATTTCCTCTTCTGATATCCTTTAACACTACTGCATACGTTTTATTTGCAAGTCCCATCACTCGCAAGTCGATCACTGCTTTCCATCAAATCAATATAACGATTTTTATTTGCGCAGCAGCTTTCATTCACACTGTCATAAGCTGATTTTACTCGCTAAGCCGCCGGCTGCTTTCATCAGATGCAGTCTGAGATGGCTGGATGTGCAGGCTGTATTTTCCTTTACTTGCTTCATTAGAGACTTTAGTGCAGTTTAGTGGCTTGTCCGACTCCTTAATGACGATAAATTATGATAAACGTGTTTCTTGCTGACAGACTCTCCGACTCTCTCTGACTTTAATTTTCTCCATAATAAAATTTGATGGGAGAAATAAAATCTTTCTAATAAGGTGTGTGTGTGTGTGTGGGGGGGGGCGGCTTCTGTTGTTCAGACCTACAATAAACTCAGATTTTAACTAGACGGTGAATCATAAAACAAATCAAATCAAGACTTTGCAGTGATACAGTTGAGCTTAATGTTTCTGTCGTGATGTATCAGATCAGTCCGATCAGCTGCAGCATCCAATCAAAATAACGGCTACCCAATAAAGGGGCGTGTCGGTCCTGCTCCTCGATCCTTGCTCTTCGGAGCGCAAATAAGAGCTTTGGGACAGTCTGCAAGATGGCGGAGCGGAACAACTTCTGGTTGGAGTGAGGAAACGACAAATAAGAGACTTGAGAAGCACCCCTTGTCTCCTCATCAAGAGCCCCAGACATGTTGGTGCAATTTCTCTGCGAATAGAAGAACACTGAAGTTTGTCAAGCAAAAGAAGAAAGAATTGCATTAGATGAACTGAAAGATATAGGGCTACTATTAGCTATTACCCATTTAAGGAAAAGCAGTAGACAATATCTTGTACATACTGAGGAGGTCTATCCCTGTATTAGTGGGTGCCCCCAGTTGCAGCTCAGCGTTGATGGAATGCCCCTCTGGTGTGTAGTCAGCAACTCATTAGCCTTCCCTTCCGGCTGTTGTTCACTTTCCTTTGCTGTTAAACGACAGTAAAACATGTCGTCTTGCAGCAAGAAACTCAACAACATCTGCTCGTGTAAAACAATCTTGGTGTTCTCTGGTGAAATCAGTGATAAGCAATGTTTGTTGGATAGTTCAGATGTTGAGAAAACTGCCATCTTGACTGAAATATAACTTTCCAGTGTAGAGGCGGTTTATGTGCTAAGCCCTGAGGGTGCAACTGGGTGTACACTTGACAAAGAGTTTGTCACGATCAGCCTTGTTTTTTGTTCACTTTCGGCGTCAGGCACCACCGTGCACCTGGAATGCTTTGAGGTTAAGTCTGATATTTCAACTCTGACATTTCCCAGTTCTGAGCAATCTGGAGCACGGCATCAGATAAGGGGCATGATGATACACTTTGGTCATGAGACATGACAATGCTCAAAAACAAGATTAGAAGATTTTTAACACTATTTTGATGTAATATGAAATGCTGAAATGGGGGATGATTTTGAATATCATTTCCTGCATTGTGCTCCAATTTTGGGTGGAAATGTCTTCATTTATAAAAAGAGAAACAAAAAATTCAGCTGGCAGGTGACAATTCACAAATAGAAAAATACAACAGAATATAATGCAGTAATCAGCAGCCTGTTACTTTTTTTTGACAATGCACATTTGTTGCATTTTCATTTGTAAGTTTACATTTTTTGCCGCAAGGCATTTTTAGAAGTTTTTAAGAAATGCTTTCAAAAAGTGACGGGGACAAAATCATCCATTTCAAAATGTGGTTGGGACAGTGTCCCTAGTGTCCCCACCTATGGTCACTTAGCTTCTAAACGTTCCTTAATATTGCAGTGGAAAACTGAAGTCAGCCCATAAATATGTAAATTTGCCCTCTCAACATGTTGGGTCAGCTTTGACTATGACGTGACACCTGCTCAGAAGTTGAGTTGGTTTCCGAAAATAAAATGACATCATCTTGCGTCCCATTTTACTGAGCACATTAGAAAAATCCTGACTCTTCCAAATCCCAGCCACATCATGTGCTTGTGCGTAATCCTCGAGTCCGCGATACAGCAGAGCTTATCAGAGAGCCGGCAGTCAGCTGTCAACGAATCACCTGAGGATGTTTGAGTATTTGATCCAAGAACACTGTATCAGCAGTGCAATGTTTTACCAATTTTAGAACAATCAAGGTGTCATGTTACGCAGGATTAATTAGAATTTTTTTTATTTCCTTCAGTACAGGAGCAACAGGACTTTACTGCTGGGTAAACCACTGGTTCGCATTACATACTGTACCATTCAAGATGTTGTTGTAACATCAAGTAGACAGCAAGAAAACTCCTTTTCAACAACCACACGAGTCCAGATATAGCTTTCTTGCTCAATGTGCGTGAAGTCAAACAGGGGTGGAACAATACAAAACTACTGTCAAGTCTTCTACATACGGGTTACTGTAGATGCATAACAAACCAGTGTGAGAGAGTGTAGGGAAAAGAGAACTGAAGGGAAAAGCAAGCTGAGCAGACTCAAGTAGTGAGTAAACACTATGACAACAATTTCCAGGAAGGTGCGAAGGTCACGAGGAGTCACGAGGAGTCATGAGTTCACCACTTTGCTAATAACGAGGCCTCTTGATGTCGTTTTTTGACTCTGCTCACAGCCCTCCGCGGCCCCACAGTCCCCAGGATGACGGACAGATCATCTTTGACGTGGACGTGACTGGCAGAAGAGACAGTCAAGTAAGGGCTTGTGCACCTCTCAGGTTCTCAGTCTGTTTCCATGGGAACCTCCACCACCTGCCCTGAAGTGGGGTGTGTGTGTGTGTGTGTGTGTGTGTGTGTGCGCGTACACGAGAATGACAACTGCTGCCTGGCTTTTAGTTTCCATGGAAATGGCTGCCACTCCCAGTGTGGATTTCTTTCTTTTGCATTGTCACTATTACTTTCACTGTTGTTCACTCTTTATCTCTTTTTGTCTGTGAGGGCACTCTGGAAACAAAACTCTTAATAAATACACAATCTTGTTTGTCTTGAAAGGCTAAATTAAATGTCTTTCTTTAGTCAGAAGAAGATGTCTTGGACAAGGAGAGGGACATGGACATCCTGATGAAGGACGCAGATTGGGTTGCTGACTGGTCTAGTCGACCGGAAAACATTCCCCCCAAGTAAGTCTCAAACTCAGTAAACATCAACCTAATGTTTCCATGGCAACCAAATCACAGCTCCTTGTTTGTCCTGAGTAAGTGGATTACTCATTATGGCAATAAAGTTGGTCTAAAAGCACAAATATAAAGCCAGCTGCCAGAATTTGTGTATGAAACTCTGACGCTCACGTTACAATTGGAAAAGCTGAAGGTTAATTGATATGCAAGTTAAACCTCTCTTCCAATAATTTAAAGAAAGCTATTTAAATAATGCATAAATGTACAGAACTTACAACAATTTTAGCTGGCGCACAATCATATTTTTTATATATATACACACACACACACACACACACACACACACACACACACACACACACACCTTATTACAAAGATTTTATTTCTCCCATCAAATTTTATTATGGAGAAAATTAAAGTCAGAGAGAGTCAGAGAGTCTATCAGCAAGAAACGTGTGTGTGTGTGTGTGTGTGTGTATGTGTGTGTGTGTGTATATATATATATATATAATATACTCCCACAAAATAATTTAAGAATCAATTTTATATGAAAATGGGGAGGGGGGGGGCCGATGACTTTTATTGCTGTATAACCTATTAAACCTACAGCTTTTTCGAAGCCAGTCTACTTTATCAGCCACAAAAACTTGGTTCAGATGTTTGTATTTGTGTTTCAGTCCTCTAAAGATGAAGCTGAACCAAGTTGTCTCATTTGAGAGCTCTAAACTTCAATGAATGACTAACAATGAATGACTTAAGCAAATTATAGGGGGGTGCATTTACCAAGATTGACAGGTATCAGGTTGTCAATCAGCAGTGCTGTGTCTAAAGCGACTGTGATTTATGCAGGGAGTTTCACTTCCGTCACCCTCGACGCTCTGTAACACTCAGCATGAGGAAGACCGGGGCCATGAAGAAAGGAGGCATCTTCTCCGCAGAGTTCCTCAAAGTCTTCATCCCCTCGCTGCTACTATCACACGTCCTGGCTCTGGGGCTGGGGTAAGCAAAAACTGCCACAGGTCTTTGAAGGGTCACACTGAAATTAATGCCTTTTTGTAGTCAAAAGCTCATTAAAATTTTTATGCCAAAATATAACAGATTTTATTTGTTGCTCCCAGAAATGTTTTCTTATCAGGGTGGGAAAACCAGCGCTTATGCCATCACAGAACACTGAAACGGTCCACTGAAGCCAAAGGTCACTTAAGGGCAGAACACCCAGAATTTAGTGTTGTTAAAGGTTTGGGTATTGATATCAGTTCAAGTTTGTGCTCAGATATTAGTGTATAGGTGTTTCACAATCATTTTATAAAACATTATTTGTGCATTTTCTTAATTTGTAAATATTTCCCAGTTGTACATGAAGCCCAGTAGGGGGAGCTGTACAGCTGCACACAGCAGTCAGCTGTGTCCCTCCCCTCATGACAAACAGGGAGAGCAGCTGCCGACTGAAAGGCTGCTCACCTGCTGCCTCGTAGTGAGCCCCCGACGCTCCCAGTGGCACTCTCTGGTTGTGATAGCACATGTTACAGTAATCCTGGCTCCTCAATCAGATAATGTCACAGCGAGGATTCCTCAGGCAGCAGTCTTTTCTTGGACATGACGTGGTATGCAAGGAGTGTCATTAACAAACCTGTGATAATCACAACATCCCTCTTGGCTATTCTGGGGTTTATATGGTTAGATAATAAATCTCTATGGTCTCACTGAATGGTAGCTGTTGTTTATGAAGAACTGTATGAGAAAAAGGGCTAATTGTTTTATTTTTGGTATTTCTGTTCATTTAAATATTTCATAATCCTCCTCAAGTTACATGTTAGTCTATAGTGCTGGGTTTGGTTGTTTTTAGTTTCTGTGTAGAGATAACAGCTATATTGGCACCAGTTTAGCTGACATTAGCTGTCAAAAGCTGTATTTATAATATTCCAATATCAGTCCTACTCACAAATATTGATACTGGATTTATCTAATTGCAAAAACAGCATTTTGGAGACCTGTTTTTCTATTAAGTGCCCTAATAGCACTGTTAAATTACACAAACATTCAATGAAGAAAACACTTAAGATGTCTGAGAAACGTTCTGGATATGCACACCAATTTGTTCTTTGCTTAAAAATGTATAGTGCTATAAAAAGAAAGTCCCTGTTGGATCACATCAGTATTATGGGTGAGCTACTGGTATATGGCATCGACTTAAAAAACTATGTATCCCTGTCTGCATGTCTGGCTGCAAGATGGTGTAATATAAAATAACAAAAAATATATATGTATAAATATATATTTTTTCATGAACAAATTTAACGCCCCATGGCCGTACTGATAGTGAAGAGCAAGACACTAGCTTTGACTGATATGTTTGCTTGATTAGTGTTGACAGTTTTTCTTTTCTTCCCTATCAAAGTTGTGTCCGTCTTGTACTTAACATGTGGTTTTGCTTTCTGGATAAATGTTGCTAACTCTTGTTAGCCTTGCCAACGTTAGAGCCCTCTTGTTCTTCCCCTTTATTGTTTCCAAGTGAACCAGGTTCAAAGACCTTACAGATCTTTTTCACAGCAGACATTTTGAAAGCAGAAAGTGCACAGGTGGCATTAATGATTTTTATTGTTGTTGAATTCTATTTTGGTGAGGCAAGTCCAGGGACTGGCACTGTACATGCTATACTCACTCACTAGAGAGGCTTCCTGGGAACATAGCCATCATTAATGGTAGTAGTTCATCTCTCCTTTTCCTGCTATGACAAATGTCAAAATATCTGCTGGGAAAAATGTCTATTTTACATCTGTATCCACCTTTTTTATGTAGATTTTCAGTTTGCACATAAATGAAATCTCAGCGACAACACAGGAAATTTGAAGAGTTATTATAATTTGCTGCAATGGAAGCAGATTTACTAACCACGACGTACAGGAAGCATGTGACTGAAACGTCACTGAAGCTTCCGCTCCACTTGGCGGATTAAAAATAACGGCAGACGAAAAGGGTTAGGGTTAGAAAACAGAAATGACATGTTTCCATCACGTTTTTCACCTTTGTCATTCACTTTTTTAATTACATCCTCTTGTTGCGCCCTCTTCTGCAATGGTTTAGTGGCACCTGAATGGATGCACTCAACTCCTAATATTCACATAACGATAGTGGATGGAAACGCACATTCATCTGCATTTTTTTTTTTTAATGGAAATGAGTTAAAATTTTGTGCTGAATGTGGATGGAAACTTGACTATTGTGACTTCACCATAGCAGGAAAAGTACAGGTAGAACTAATAACATTAATGGTGACTCTGTTCCAGCAATTGTTACAACAAAGCAATAAGTGTTACTTGTTACGGCTGTGTAGGACAAGTCAAAATGCAGTGAAAAAGGTCTGTCCAACTAAAGTTTCACGCCACAATTTTTACCCTTTTCATGCGTGACCCCTTGCAGTGTCCCCCTAGTTAAGCTCCTAATTAAGCCAGTGATTCCCAAACTTAACATCCTGTTTTCTAGGAATGCATTGAAGGTGAAGACAGAAAATGAATGTAGTCAGTTGAAAAGTGATTCCTGACATCAGATCGGGGTGTTGACAAGGGGTTAAGCTTTTCCTTGCATGTCTAGTCAATACACCACCACAGCTGGTTGTTTTTCACAGTGATATTTTTACCGGTCACATTCCCATGCTGCAGTGAGTATGGTTTGTAACCTGCTCCTTGTCTACCTTCTGCTCAACAGAGTCTACATTGGAAAGAGGTTGATCACACCACCTGCCAGCTCTTTCTGAACCTGGAACTGAAGAAAAGTGCCTGAGAAAGTGTTGCTGTCATGAGAAGAACGCCCTCCTCTCCTCCCTCTGTCCCGCCTGCCCCCCCCTCCTCGTCCCTGAGATATGACTTGTTCTCAGATGAAATGCATCTACCTTTTCCTCTCTCTCCCCTCCTTCCCCCCCCTTTTTTTCTTGATTGCTGTTCTCTGACTATCTGTAGATATTCCCTCTCTCCCTCCTCATAACCTTCACTCATTTGTATAAGCTTTTCAAAGGATGAATAAGGTCATATTTCCTGTTCCCCAGCGATTGGGTTTGATTGTTTATTACGGGTGGGTTTTCAGGGAGGGTCACAGCATCAAACCAAACTCTTCTACTTCATACGTTATCCCAGTGCCCTTTGATCATCTGATAACGAGGGAGGGCTGTCCAGTTTTAGTTTAGTTTTAACTGACCACAGATTGTGCCACCTACGTGAGTAGCCCAACACTCGATCTCGAAAGAGTGCGACCAGATTCAGAGTCAGCTACGCAAACTGAAAAAGTGTTCATGCCTTTTTTGAAAGAAGCCATTTTGTTTACTTTCCATAGGCTACATAGTTTAAAAAATATATATAATTTTACAACAGCGGTGATTAAGTAGTTTTGATGAAAGGAGTTTCAATAGTGGCCATCATGAATTGCACCGGGGGAGTCTCTGGCTCTGTCTGCCAGACGAGGGAGAGATTTATGGGACATTTCTTCACCTTTTCTGTGATGAAAACGAGAAATTAAAATCATTTGAAATCTGCATCTGAATGAATATTTTTGCAAAGTTACAGTAACAGGAAACCAGGGTGTAGAAGTGTGTTGTGCGGGCAGGCAGTGTGGCCCTCTCAGTGTGTACACCAACAGTATTTTGTGGTTCAGTCTTCTGTCCATACGGTCTGTGTCGGCTGGTTTGGTCCTGACCTGTCAGTTCCCACTTTTATTCCAGATTGGGCTGGATATGACATGGTACATGGTGCTGATTTGTTTCTAATTTTTGTGGATTTTAAGTGATTCAAAAAGGTATCAAAAAAGTGAGATTTGAATTAAAGAGATATATTGACATTTGTTATTAGGATGTCTGAGTAATTTCATTTGAAAAGTGTTATATGAAAGATAAATGTAAACTTTCAGAGTTGGTTGGTTGGCTTCAGATAATTGTTATTAAAGGCCATTTCTTATGAGCAAAAATGTCTAGAAATACTTCCATCAAGCTGCACATGAAGGGAACTGATTCCAGGGTCTGTCTTAGTTTGCGTTCACTTCATGCGTAAACACAAGGACTTGGCTAGCATGTTCAGTAACATCTGCAACATGTTTGAAAAGCCGAATCAGACATCTGCTTCACTGGAGTATCTCTGAGGTTGGTCTGTGGTCAGTTTTGTCCCAAGTGGACCAGACCTGGTTCAAATAATATTTCATTTAGAAGTTCAGTTCTTAGTTTTTCTTCCACTAATTGGCTTGTTGCGGACTACTTTGTTGACAGACGTACAGCTTTTCACCTGAGTTTAAAGATAAATATTATACTACCTTTTTATTTTATTTTTTTTACATGAAACCTGTGGGGTGAGCTTTCTGACAGAATCAGCCTGTTGCTCGATGACCGACAAAAATGGATGTTGCTTTGTTGCCTTTTCAAAAAAATGTTAAATGATTTTGTGACTACTGCATTTCAGTGTGCAATTTCACAGAGCAAGAAAAGCATAGACACAAAACAAAGTAACTTCTTCGAGCTCTGACATTTTTTGAAAAGCATCGTAACAAGCGTATGTGAAGTTTTAGTTTGTGGGTCTTTCATCGACCCCACTAGAGGGCATAGATGTGAAAGTATTTGGAAAAACTACTACTTTTTTTCTGCTTTTGACAGCTCCTTGAAGTAAAGGTAGAACAAGCCTCTCCATGAAATAGTTTTGCTACATATATTATATGATCCAGCAGGTCAACCTGTCTTTTTGCTTTACCTCTTATGATAGGCTCATTAACTACCAGCAGTGACTGGGGTACTGTCTCCATTTCAGCCACAGAGGTACTGCACACGACATGCATGTCTCTTGTGTTTTACGTGCAGCGTTTGGCTGCAATATTTTGGATTGTTCTTTACTGTTTGTTTTGTTTTGAGTTGTCTGTTTTGTTTTTTTGTGAGTGGCAGTGGCAGTAAGGTTGTGAACGCACAAAGCGGGAGTCAAGTTTGACACGGTGTGTGAAGATGAAACTCCCATTGTTGATGGCAGGGCCTGATGTGAATAGGAAATGGAAGTGTGGCAAGAGATTTCCCTCAGACTGCGGTGGTCTAACAGTAGTTATTGTAATGATGCATTTGCTTTGATTTTTCTTTTTCCCACTACATTGGAAAAAAATGATAAACATTTTGTCATTAAAGATGACGTGAATAAAACTTCACTGAATGGGCCTTTTTAATTGTGAATAAAATGAACTTGTTTTATACTTGCATCCCACAGGAAACCTTCAGTCTTTGAAAGATACTTATAAACGGACTGTATTTTCTACTTGCCATAAAATGTATCCCCCCTTTATAATGCACAGATGATGGCCAACTGTCAAGTATTTAATTTTGTGTATACTTCACATCATGACTAATAACAGGGGTGAATATGGAAATGTTTCTATTTCCCTAGCAAAAGTTATTGTGGGATACAAATTATTTCAGACTGTATTTTCAACTTGCCAGAAAATGTATCCGCCATCCATAACGAGGTTGCTAGGCCATCTGAAATCATTTGTATCCCACCAGAGGCGAGCAAAGTGTTAAACTGATGACAGTGATGTTGATACAGTATCGATGGCGTATGTGGAGCAGCTTACTTTAAAAAGGTGACAGTCTGTCTGAATCTAGCTTCTAAACAGTAACATGGATGAAAAAGTGATCGACTACGTGGTCAGTTATAACATCACCAGACTATCGCGAAATAAAAATTCAATAAATTCATCTGAGTGCAATGAATAATACGAAGTTTGGTAACGCATAACGTAAGCCTATAAAAACGTTTATAAGTGCTAGCTTGCTCTACACAAACCTCGTTAATAAAACAATACTAAAACGATAAATTAAACAATCGGTATATTTTTCATTCACTTTGATGAAGTCGAAGGTCCGTCTTCACCGCTGAATGCACGCGCGCTCCCGCGGCAGGGGAAACACTTTCTGACGGGGATAACTACCTTAGCGCGACACCTGCAACTTGGGAGAAGTCCCGGTACGCAAGAAAATGTCCCGGTACTGCAAAGAGTAAAATGTCGAGGTGCCGGTGCGTTCCGGCCCACTTCAAGCACTGGTTTTATCTATTTGAATCTGCTCTCCCCACTGTGTGCGGTCTCTCACAGAAGACAACAGTAAAGTGGCTCTACGTCGCGGACTGAGGAAGCACTGCACTCCAGTGGCAGACACACTGCAGTGCTGACTGTCTCTGGCATTTTCAGTTATTTCCTTTAAAATGTTTCCCAAAAACTACAATGAACTTTGTTTTCCTCTCATTTACAACCGTGCCATATTTTTTTACAACAGGCTTCACAGTGCCATGTTGGAAGCTGTCTTCTCCACATTCTTGTTTAAGCATTCCTGTCAGCACAATAGCGCAATGAGGAAGCATAAAGTAGTAGACCCAAGTTGCCACACACGCATACTGTAGATGAAATTATGGATCACATCATTGGGATTTGTTTGCAGGCTTTCCTGTGGGGATATTCAAGACATCTTACATATATCATCAATCTGATGTCTTTGCTGTCTAGGCTGCTTTGGCCCTCCACCACCCTACTTTTTGACCCCATCTGTAACTCTCCCTCTCTAAATTGATAGTATTAATCAGATTTTACTTATTCAAATTAAGCATCTGCATTTTGATAACTTGTTGTCATTCCTGATTTAAATATACTCCTGGTCCTCTGCAGTTTAGAGAAAAATTGTATACTTTGTACTCCAACAATATGCTTATCAAGCTACCCTAATTAATATAAAGTAGTTTATAGCTTAACTGATTCTTTTTCCCCACCAGCTTTCCTACGCCTCTGACTGGCTAATACTTGTTCCCTCTGTTAAACTGGCATTACATACAGTAACATAATTGTACTGTATACTGTACATTCACACAGATGCACTTCAGCAGGTTATCTTGGTTTTGTTCAAATCCCTGACTAAAACATCTCTTAGAGAAGTAATTTTTTCCCTTCTGGTGCTCTAAATACAGATCCAAAACACGATGAAATCAGACAGAGGATCAAGCAGAATAAAGACTCTTTACAGATTCTGAAGTGGCTGCAACGTATTCCTTCAGGGCAATTGTGCCCGTCAAAATTACATCCACAAAAAGTGCTTCTTTAAGATGTCTAACAACATCACGGAAAGGATCCCTACGAGTGTCTCCCGGTGATCACCTTTCGCTCGAGAACCATTCTAACTCTGAAATCTTGTGAGAGGAGAATTGTTGCAGAAAAGCCACGGTACATACTGCATACTGTACAGACATGAGAAAGGTGTCTGTTTTCTCATCTAATACTCGACAAGAAAGCAAATAAGTGTATTTCCCAAAATGTCCAACTTTTCCTAAGTTGTGCAACAGGGCTGATGGAAACAATGTTCTTTGTAAAGAATTCTTAAGCTTCTTGTTATTCACAATCAACAATGGTTGTAGCTATGGTTGTAGACTTTCCTTGATAGCAGTGTATTAAGTCTGAATGAATGGAATCATCTTTGACAGCAACATCAGTTTTCAACATCACATAACCCAGATCACCAGGACTGCCTTCTAGCACCTCAAAAAAATTGCCCGTCTCCGTCCATCATTCAACTTCTCTGCTGCTAAAACTTTGATCCATGCATTTATTACATCCACAATTGACACCGTCCTATATAGTTCATCTGCCAAAGCAATAAATAATTTTCAATAGATCCAAAACTCTGCTGCCCGCCTCTTCACCCACACCTGTGACCACCTCACCCCCGTCCTCCACAATCTCCACTGGCTCCCTGTTACCTAACTCATTCAGAACAAAATCCTCCTCCTCACCCACTCTGCTCCTCGGACACAAACCTCCTCTTCCCACGTCTCAGGATGACACTACTCCTTGGGTGACCTGAGTTTTCACTATCGCAGCCCCCTCCCTCTGGAACTCCCTCCCCATACACATCCATGACTGACCTGGACACATTCAGATCACTTATCAAAACCTACCTCTTTAGATTAGCCTTCAAACTCCCAATAATATTTCACCTACTGCTATTTGCAAGTTTTATAGTCTCCCCTGCCTTTATGAATTTTGCATAAATAGGCCTATTCTAAGTATCTATTTTTAATGTGCTAAATGTACTGGTTTTATTATAAAGTGTCTCTTTGTGTGTCCTGAAAAGTACTATGGAAAAAAAAGTATAATTATTGTGAATAAATAAAGGAAAAATCTGCAAAGCTAGAAAATGTCAACCCCTCCCTTCATGTTCAATTGATTGACATTCAGGTTGATGTGCCAAATTGACATTTTAGTTAACCTAATTAATACAAAAGATATAGATATCAGAAGATCAGATAATAGGTAGGTCAATGCACAGTTAATAATTATGCACAGTTTTAATCAGGTAAACAAGAACTGATCTGAAAGTAACCCCTTCTTGATCCCTGCTTCCTCTTCAACAACGCCTCTTCCAGTCCTTCTCCATCTTCCCTATATGGAACCTCAGAACACCTGTTCCTGGCCAATCCAGACACAGAGAGACACGTGGCTCCTCCCACTGCAGCTGATGGCGTTACCATGGGTTACAGGGTGGTGGCCAGCTCCGTCTCCAGCCCTCTGGTGAGGAGACTTTCCTCCTCATCTCCTCAGGATTCAGCAGAACTATGCTGCAGCAGCCTTCACTGCCAGACAAAGACACACTGTGTGATGAAGAAATCAGAATCTTGATGTTCTGACAATTTCATCATTAATTAGTAATAATTCAGTGTATTCAGAGAGATCATGAGACAGATTTGGCTCTTTGGGTGCTGTGTCTGCAAATCAAGACAGCTGTTGTGTGTTGTAAATGTGAAACATAGGCTGTGTTCATGTTTTATTTATAAAGTATTTAAACAGCTGATCAAACAGCTAAGGCAAACTGTAGACACATGAAGCCATGAAATACAGCAGAAGCAGTTTAAAATGGCTCATATTTATTTATAAAACAAATTCAGTGACATGCAGCGTTTGACAGAAATGCCTATTCCTGTTTGTTGTTTGTCTTTCCGCCTGCCTGAACCTCTCCTCACTCACTTCCACTTGTCTGTGGTAAAGGTAAAGTGCTTAAAGTCCTACTCAGATCACTTCACTCACTTTTTTTGCAGTTAAAGATCAGTGTCAAAGTGATGAGTTCAAATGTAAAGTTTGTTTTTGAAATTACTGAACGAAAGAAAAGCGATTTGGGTATTAATTAGAAATTCCCCTTTAATCTCTAAGACTCTGAGTGGGATTGACAGCAGAGCCAACTGGCGCACCGAGACTCCAACAAGCAGTTGTGTTGAAGTGTCCTTAGCTATCTAGCAGTGGACCTCAGGTGGAGGTTGGTTTGGTCACTTGTTTGGCAAGCCAAGGAGCAGCATGGCACATTAACTTTCAACGTGGGCTTTAAACTCTGAGCCTTTTGTGCTGTGTCTCATGGCTGCTGTCTGGCTGACCCAGCGACACAGCAGTGATGTTGCTAATTACACAAAATGTTATTATTTGACTGATTATATGAAATACATTCTTCTGTCTACATTGAGAAACAACTGCTTTCAAACCACGTGACAGACAGACAGACAGCAGGCTTAGCATAAAACTCGGTATGCTAGCAGGTCTGTCAGATATCCAGCTTAGGCAGTGCTGCTTTTAGCTAAACGCTAATGTCAGCATGCTAGCATACTGTGCACTGCAGCAATGACTGAATGCTAATGTTTAGCTGTAAATTTTTTGATCCTGTTTGAATAGTGCTCTGAATTACACATATGATGATGGACAATTTAAAATGTACATTTAAAAGTCAAGAAAGTTGCAGCTTGATGTAAAACTGTTGAGGTATAAGACTGTGAAATCTTATTATTAAGACTTATCCAATCCATATCTTTTTGTCAAATTCATTCAATATCTCTTCTGGGTCCGCTAGCCGTCCGTTCAGTGTGTTTATCTCCTTCTCTCTGCATGTTAGCTTCTCAGCAGCAACTGTGGCGACACTTTGCTAACCCACAACGTAGCTAACAGTAGTTACATAACTTGCTGTGTTGTTGTTTGCTCTATATCATGATATTTGCCATAATATTGGATTTTTCCAGAATCATACCTTTTAAAGGGGACCTATTGTGCGTTTTCATATTTTCTGGCATTTGTTCCCCCGATGAAATCCCTGTGAGCCAAAACCTCAGATATCCCCCTGTTCTGAATGC